AAAAAAAAAACGATCGCCACTTCGCGACGTGGCGAAGCGAAGCAGCCACACTATCGCGAAATATCGAGACCCAAATTTTGCCCAAAACCAACTTCCATCCAATCTGCCCCCCAACCACACTGCACCCCAAGGCATCTACCTATCCCAACCAAACCTAAAACGTGCCCTGAGTCTCTCTACCACCAAACACATTATACCACACCAGATCTCGTAACTTACCAGCAGCGCTAGGCGGCAGATTCAGCTACGATCAAACCTTAGGGAGCGCCGCGTCGAGTCATTTTTTAGGCAGCGCAATGTCGACCCCCAGGATCATCCTGTCGTAGCTGCAGCAGCTTCCGAGTCGTCTAACAAGTATGCACCTGATAGTACTCATGAGGTTTACAAGCACTTCAAGCTCTTGCTTCCTCAGCCTGGTGGAGGCGCGGAGAGGTACGAGTGCACGTTTTGCGCGGCGGTTTTTGTGGAATGCCAATCAGGTGTGCGCAGCATCTCTGGGTGGGATAATATGAGGCGTCGTGAGGTTGCATTGTGCGTGGCGGCGCCAAAGGAGGCCCGTGATGAAATGCGTGCTCTATATGAAAAAAAGGGCAGGCTAAGGCGTCAAAGCAGAATGCGACAGATGCAGCAGTTGCTGCTGTCGGAGGAGGGGGGGGGAACACGCCAAGATCACTGATTTCTAGGCTGCACTTGCGCGGAAGGAGGCCGACGAGGCGTTGTGTCTTATGTTCGCCGGCCTCCGCATCCCGGAGCACCACGTCCGCCACCCGCTCTTCATCAATGCAGTGCGGGCAATCGATGCTACCGAATCTACCTACATGCCTCCCAACCGCAACTACATTGGCGGTGCAGGGTTGAAGGCTGTCCGCACGCACATCGACAAAGGGCTGCAACCGATTCGGGAGACTTGGGAAGGCACCGGTGTGACGATTGCCCCGACATGATGACCAACCGGAATGGCCGACCACAGGCGAATGTCCTCCTTGTGAACGACTCGGGAGCTGTCTTCGTGGTGAGCATTGATTGCCGGATGGAGAGCAAGACTGGCGGCTACATCGCCGGCCTCTTGCGCCCCATCCTGCTTAAGGTCGGACCAGAGAATGTGGTCGCACTTTGCATGGATGGCGGAAGCAACTACGGCAAGGCGTGCCGGGTTCTGACCCAGGAGAATCCGCACATCCAGCAGGTTCCGTGCGCCACCCACGTGCTGGACCTGATGATGGAGGACATCGGGAAGCAGCCGTGGGCGAAGAATGTCATCCTCCGCGCAAACGAAGTCATTACCTACGTACGCAACCACCACTGGACGAGGAATTACTTCCGGGAGCCGGGGGAGCCAGGCGGCAAGGTGCTGCAGATGTTGTAGCCGGCGGGCACTCGGTTCGGCACTCAATACATAGCCGTGTCCCGGCTTGTCAAGCTAAGGGAGAAGCTAGCGCAGCTGGTGTCAGGCAAGCAGTGGAAGGCATGGGTGGTTGGGAAGCAGAAGGAGGTGGCCCATGAGATCCAGAGCATCATCTTGGATTGGGCTTGGTGGGCGGCAGCAGAGTTCTTCGTGAAGCTGTTGAATTTGCCGTACAACGTCATGCGGGCTACAGATTCGTCGGCAAAGGGGATGATGGGCAACATTTATGAACTCATGCTAAAGCTTACCGAGGATGTGCATGGCCTGCTGAAAAAGGATGATGAGCAGCTGCGGCCAGCCGACAAGAAGGGGATGACAAAGATCCTGCAGAAGCGGTGGGACAAAGTATGGCTTGCCCCATGCATGCGGTTGGCCGGATCCTCAATCCGGCCAACCAAAAAGAGAAGATTTTTGGCCCAGACACTGAGTGCACCAAGCTTTTCAAGGCTTTTATCAGTGACTACAGTAAGAGCATCGCCATCTCCAGGAAGGAGGTGAAGGGCAAGAGCACGGCAGTTGTTCTGCAGCAAGGGGTCACGGCGTTCTTGAAAATGAGGGGGAGCTTTGGTATGCCTACTGCAATCGAGCAAAGGGCGGACGTGAAGGCGGGGATGATGACAATGGAGGAATGGGTGGATGTGGCATGGCACCAATTGTCTCGAGCTTGCAACGCTGGCGCGCCGTGTACTCACGCAGCCGGCATCTGCCGCCAGCTGCGAGCGCGGATGGTCCGGTGTGGAGTCGGTGCACACTGCGTGCCGCAACCGGCTCGGATCAGAAAAATGCAGGGTCTTGGTGTACGTTGCGCACAACTGGAACGTTGTGCACAACTGGCACCTGTCCAGCGAGGAGGAGAGGGTGGTGCTCGCCGGGAACATCCTAGAGCCGCCCACCCCGACGGGCTACAATGTGGATGCGGAGGGGGGGCTGGTGGATGATGACCTGGAGGATGAGGCAGTACTGCATGATGAGTATGGGGATGAGGAGGAGGAGGAGGAGGAGGAGGAGGAGGAGGAGGAGGAGGAGGAGGAGGAGGAGGAGGAGGAGGAGGAGGAGGAGGAGGAGGAGGAGGAGGAAGGAGGAGGAGAGGAGGAGGAGGAGGAGGAGGAGGAGGAGGAGGAGGCTGAGGGTTAGGGGGATGTGCTGCAGGTTTGGCAAGCATGCATTTGGGGGAGATGGGGGACGTGGGAGTGTGTTAGCGGGGTAGTACTTAAATGGCTGAGGGAAGGGAAGGGCCTTTGGGGGAAACCTTGACATGTCAGTTATACGCTAGCGTATCAAACGCCATACGCGTTTAGTGCAACTTAGGTTCAGAGAGGGGGGAAGGGCGGATTGGAGCGTGGTAAGGTGGTTTAGAGAGGGGGAAGGGCGGATTGGAGCGTGGTAAGGTGGTTTAGAGAGGGGGGAAGGGCGGATTGGAGCGTGGTAAGGTGGTTTAGAGAGGGGGAAGGGCGGATTGGAGCGTGGTAAGGTGGTTAAGAGAGGGGGGAAGGGCGGATAGGAGCGTGGTAAGGTGGTTTAGAGAGGGGGGAAGGGCGGATAGGAGCGTGGTAGGGTGGTTTAGAGAGGGGGAAGGGCGGATAGGAGCGTTAGAAGGTGGTTTAGAGAGGGGGGAAGGGCAGATAGCAGCGTGGTAAGGTGGTTTTAGAGAGGGGGGAAGGGCGGATAGGAGTGTGGTAAGGTTGCTTTGGAGAGGGGGGAAGGGCGGATTGGAGCGTGGTAAGGTGATTTAGAGAGGGGGGAAGGGCGGATAGGAGCATTAAAAGGTGGTTTAGAGAGGGGGGAAGGGCGGATAGGAGCGTGGTAAGGTGGTTTAGAGAGGGGGGAAGGGCGGATAGGAGTGTGGTAAGGTGCTTTGGAGAGGGGGGAAGGGCGGATTGGAGCGTGGTAAGGTGATTTAGAGAGGGGGGAAGGGCGGATAGGAGCATTAAAAGGTGGTTTAGAGAGGGGGGAAGGGCGGATAGGAGCGTGGTAAGGTGGTTAAGAGAGGGGGGAAGGGCGGATAGGAGCGTGGTAAGGTGGTTTAGAGAGGGGGGAAGGGCGGATAGGAGCGTGGTAGGGTGGTTTAGAGAGGGGGAAGGGCGGATAGGAGCGTTAGAAGGTGGTTTAGAGAGGGGGGAAGGGCGGATTGGAGCGTGGTAAGGTGATTTAGAGAGGGGGGAAGGGCGGATAGGAGCATTAAAAGGTGGTTTAGAGAGGGGGGAAGGGCGGATAGGAGCGTGGTAAGGTGGTTTAGAGAGGGGGGAAGGGCGGATAGGAGCATTAAAAGGTGGTTTAGAGAGGGGGAAGGGCGGATAGGAGCGTTAGAAGGTGGTTTAGAGAGGGGGAAAGGGCGGATAGCAGCGTGGTAAGGTGGTTTAGAGAGGGGGGAAGGGCGGATACGAGTGTGGTAAGGTGCTTTGGAGAGGGGGGAAGGGCGGATTGGAGCGTGGTAAGGTGGTTTAGAGAGGGGGGAAGGGCGGATAGGAGCGTTAAAAGGTGGTTTAGAGAGGGGGGAAGGGCGGATAGGAGCGTGGTAAGGTGGTTTAGAGAGGGGGGAAGGGCGGATTGGAGCGTGGTAAGGTGGTTTAGAGAGGGGGGGAGGGCGGATAGGAGCGTGGTAAGGTGGCTTAGAGAGGGGGGAAGGGCGGATTGGAGCGTGGTAAGGTGGTTTAGAGAGGGGGGAAGGGCGGATTGGAGCGTAGTAAGGTGGTTTAGAGAGGGGGAGACGCGGATAGGAGCGTGGTAAGGTGGTTTAGAGAGGGGGAAAGGGCGGATTGGAGCGTGGTGAGGTGGTTTAGAGAGGGGGGAAGGGCGGATAGGAGCGTGGTAAGGTGGTTTAGAGAGGGGGAAAGGGCGGATAGGAGAGTGGTAAGGTGGTTTAGAGAGGGGGGAAGGGCGGATTGGAGCGTGGTAAGGTTGTTTAGAGAGGGGGGAAGGGCGGATTGGAGCGTGGTAAGGTGGTTTAGAGAGGAAGGAAGGGCGGATAGGAGCGTGGTAAGGGGGTTTAGAGAGGGGGGAAGGGCAGATAGGAGCGTGGTAAGGTTGTTTAGAGAGGGGGGAAGAGCGGATAGGATCATGGTAAGGTGGTTTAGAGAACTGAACTAAAAACAGAGAAAATGAGAGGGAGAGGGCCTTATATAGCTAGGAAAGGACCCATGCTCTCTCTCTCTCTCTCTCTCTCTCTCTCTCTCTCTCTCTCTCTCTCTCTCTCTCTCTCTCTCTCTCTCTCTCTCTCTCTCTCTCTCTCTCTCTCTTAAGCGGTCCTTAGGTATTAGCCTTATAAGTTGTACAGGTACAATTCAGAAATGTAAAGCATCCTGTGATCCCCAGAAGCAGCCTACCGCTGCTCGGGAGACCTCATCTAGGCTTCAATCGTTGCTTCTAACTCCCCCCAGGTGAGAGGCGTCTCCATGTCGGCTCCAAAGGCAAAGGCTTTTTCTTTGCAGAGGCTGACCTTGCTGTGCAGCGTCATGGCCTGCTGCCTCTGGAGTGTGACCGCCCAGCGCTGGCGGTATGAGGGTGCCATTTTCTGGGCGAGCGCGGACTTTCTGTCCGCGTTGTGGTTGCTGGTGGCCGCCAGCCCTGCGAGGAGGGAGAGAACCTCTACCATGTCGGCCGAGCAGCACCCGTAGGTCTCTTTAGCCACCCCGAAGACGTTGACAAAGGTGAGAGACTCGTCGTAGAGGTCGCGTTTCTTCTCCTGGGCTTCGGCAGCAGCCCATCCGGTGCCTTTCCTCGCGTGGGGGTCGCGGGAGGAGATGGGGTCGGTGATGGTTACATCGCAGACCCAGACCTGTCTCGAGTCGGGGTGGCGCAGCGTGATGTCTGCTCGCCGTTGGGAGGTTTCAGGGAGGTACAGCGTAGATTCCTTGCGGGCGATCGAGCCGGCCTCCTTGGCTAGGCACATGCCTAGGTTCACGAGGCCATCGTGGGTCCGCTTGGGTCCCCCTCCCAAGGTACACCGCAGGAGGTGGTTAGGGAGGCGAGGGTCCATCAGCTCCTTTATGCCGCTGCAGTTGCATCGGCTGGGGATGGAGTGTTGCAGTCCCATGCGAAACGCCAGGGCGGTGGCGAAGTGCCCTGGGCTGAGGCTGAGGTCTGGTGTGAATGGTATGGCCGCCAGCCAATCGCCCGTTCCCGGGCCGAGGAGGGACAAGAGCTGCTGCGTGTGGCCGAGAAGGGGGTTGAGGGTGATGTCCCTTGTCTCGGCCACCAGGCGGCGATGCCGCTCGCCCTGGACCTCGAGGGCCAGGGCGTGTTGGAGCTTGCTGGCGCGAGGTGGAGGGAGGCGAGGAGGCTGGCTGCCGCCGTTGTTGAGGCGAGGTAACAGTACCCGCCTTCAGCGAAGGGGGTCCGTGAGCCTGAGTCCCCCTATCGTTTTTGTCAGGGTTGCCTGCCGCCATAGGAGGTCCTTCTCCGCCGCTTGCCTGGGTTCCTGGAGGCCGCAGGATGCCAAGGTGTTGGCGAGCAGGCGCTGTCCCCATGCTATCCATTCTGCATCGGGCAGGAGGTCCGGGGGTGTGGAGCGTAGCAGGAAGGCTGCCTTGCGCCCTACACACCTGGTCAGGAGGAGGAATGCCAGCTGCGGGTGGAGTTGCTGGACCAGGGGGAGGGTGGCGGCAGCTTTCTCTAGCGCTTCGCGAAGGAAGGCCGCGCAGCCTGCGCGGTTTCCCACCGGGCTCCCTAGGATTCGGAGAGCCCCCGTCACGATGGGTACCCCCTCCGGCGCGTGCTGGAGGGCGGTCTCGCTTGTGGACCAGGCCCCGCACTTGGCAGGGTTGCACGCCAGGCCTGCTGCTGCGATGGCGTTGGTAAAGTGGTAGAACGCCGCCTCGCATTCTTCGGGCGGCCCCATGAGGGTCACATCGTCAGCATAGGCCAGGGTGAGTACTTGAGGGTAGGCCTCTGCTGTGGCCACGAGGGCAGGGTGTAGGGTGATTGCGAATAGCACTGGTTCCAGGGGGTCCCTCTGCCATACTCCTCGCTCGCTGAGTAACAGGGGGGAGCTGAACTCGTGGTCCAGGAACAGCGGCGCACAGCTTCTGTATGTGGTGAGCACGAGGGGGAGGAGCCCCGTGAGCAGGCTATTCCGCAGGGCCTCCACCATGGCTGCGCATTCCGCGGAGTTGAAAGCGTTTACCATGTCGACTTGGAGTACGAGGTCGTCCGGGTTCAACTGGAGATGCGTGCGGGAGGTGTGGATCGTTACCTCCGTGCCGCCGGGGACGCACACGCCGAACTGCAGCAGCGTGAGGTAGGCTGCCGCTGCCAAGGAGGTGAGCGTGATCGCCACCTTGTTGACGACGTGTAGCAGGCATTCGCCCACGGCTATTGGGCAGACGCCGCCTCCTGGCTTTCTGAATGCCAGGAGTCGCGAGGAGGAAAGGAGTGTTGTCGCCTCTTCGGGAATGTTTCCAGCGAGCACCGTGTTTGTGAGCACTGTTAGGTGGCTCATGATGTCGGCGTTTGTCAGGGCTGCTTCCCTCAGATGTTGGAACATGGTGCCCGACGGACCTGCCCCGACTCCGTTCGGGCAGTGTCGAAGTACCACCCATAGCTCCGTGACTGATATTTGCGGTAGTGGGCTTGCTGTCTGCGCCATGGGTCCTCTGGTGGGGGGTTGTTTGCGTAGGGCCCATGCGGGTAGGGCGCGTTCCGCTCGGGGGTGTTTCGCCCTGAGTGCAGCGAGCGTTTCGGTCATTGGTTTGCAAATGGGGGTGGACTCCAGTGCCTGGACTGCTTTGCGTAGGTTACCCCGTTTCACCAGGGTTTCCGCCCTAGCGAGCTTGCCTTTGGCGTCAGCTGCATGTCGTGGGGCTGGGGGCAGCTGTGACGAGGCCACTGCCTCTTCGTAAAGCTCGCACCACTCGCCTGTCGCAAACTGGCGTAACCGGTGTAACAAGTGTTTGACATCGGATGCTCTGGTGGACTGTGTGGCTAGTGTTAGCCGAGGCAGAAACATGAGCAGGCGCCAGCCTGGCACTGAGTCTCGGTTTGCTGCCACGTGGAGCAGCGGCGTCAGCAGAGAAGACGCGAAGGCTGTCAGTATTTCGCGGGGGAGTCGCCGCGCCAGTGGTGGCAGGCGACCGTCGCGAAGCTTGTCCAGGTCCCAGCTGGCAACGAACTCAAAGAGTTCAGTTTTGTTCGCGAGAGCCAGCGGGGACAGTACTGTCCGAGCTGACGTTGACCGGCGGGAGGTTGCCGAGCCGCGTCGGGTGTTGGAGAATGCGCCTCGGTTCTGCCGAATGCCATCCCGCCGGTCTGCGCCTCGGGGTGGGGTTTCTTCCACTTCCGAATCTCCCCCACCCAGTATGCCTTCCTCGAATACCCCCATTTCGGGGGTATACGTGCGGTCGTTTCCGTCAATCAAATCATCGTCCGCTCTCTCCCTCCCTTTCAAGCCCCCATTTTCGTCCCTCGTAGCAACTGCTCGTATCGGTGTGACTGCGTCTCCTAATTGGGCATTTTCCACTGCCTCCTCGTTGCCTCTGTGGTTCGAGTTTCCACCCTCGGTGCCGTCCTTGTCACTACTTCCGGTAGCCGTCTGAGCCGCCGCGTCCGCTCTGTTAAGCTGCTGCTGGGCGGTCCGTTGGAGGCACGCCGCTGTCGCTCGGAAGCTGCGGCGCCCGCTCTGTACCGGTCCGTTGCGGCCACCTCTCCGTCCTCCGCCGTGCCCCCGGTCTAGCCTCCTGCCACGTTGGTTCGGCGCTTCTGCTATCCTCCCGCGCCACTGCCCCCTTCCGCTTGCGGTGGTGCATCCCGTCGTCGCATCGTCATCGCGAGGCGATGACGTAGGGGATGCTCCTTTCCCCTTCGCGCCGTCCTCGGCGGGAAGGGGATGGTTCCCCATCGCCGTTGGGCTCGTCCTCCGGCGAGTCATCGGCGTTGTCGCCGACCTCGTCACTGCGCTGCGAGCTTCGCGCACTGGGGTTGCAGGTTGCTGCCCTGACGCGGGCGATTTTTGCTACTGCAGCGCCCGTCGCCGCTGCAACCGGCGGCGGGTGTCCCCTCGCCGCTCCAGGGGTCCCCTCTGGCGGACGCGCGTATGGCATCGCCCACGGGTCGGTCGCCTCCCTCTCCAGGCGGTCCTCCGCCCCCGCTTCCTCCGCTACCCGTTTCGTCGCCTCCCCCTTCCCCGCCTGCTCCGTCGTTGCCTCCCCCTCCACCCCCACCCCCTCCGTCTCCGCCTGCACCTCCTCAGCCGCCGCTAGTGGCACCACCAGCTGCCGGCGCTTGTGGCGGGGCAGCGGGGCTTGGCCGACCTCTGGCCTCTCCGCCCTCTCCTGAGCGTCCCCCAAAGCGGCTCCGTCATGGCGGCCCGGGTGGGTCACTTGTCCCGTCGCGCTTGCCTCCCCTGCACAGAAGATGAAGGGTCCTTGGAGTGATGCCCGTCCGTTTGTCAGCGGCGTCGCCGCGCCGTCCGGGCCTGGCGTGCGGTGCGTCGGATCCGCCTCTGCAGCGTGGCTCGGAGTCGTCGCGTAGCGGGGGGTGTTCTTGCCTGCGGCCCGCTGTAGTGCCACATTCTCCGGTGGAGGCGATGGCCGGGGTCGTTGCTTGTATTGGAGCTGTGGCGGAGGTGCTGAATTGCCTCCGCCCCCCACCTTTGCAGCCCCCTCCGCGGAAACCAGAGGCTGGGCGTCAGTGGCGGCCCGCGATGTCCCGCCGCCAGCAGCGGCGCGCCGTCGATGAATTGAATCGGTCGCTCGTGGTGAATCAGCGCCCGGCGATCTTGGCCGCTTGCATGGCTGTGCTTCGGGCACTGGAGAGTCGGGCTGGTGCCCTTGTCCCACCGTTGCCGCTGGAGCAGTAGGAGCGGGGTAGCCGGCCACCGAGTTAGGCCGTTCCCCGCCTTTAGGCGCTGCATTGGGTGTTGTAGCCATAGGTTCTAGGCTAGGAGGTGGCCCCCACCGGGGCATGTGTGTATGCCTGTATGTTGCAGCTGATGTTGTCACGTTTGCCGCCCCTCTTGCCGCTCCCCGCCCCCTTATCGCGCGGCCATAGGCCGCGCCGCGAGCGGCGGCGGCCGAAGGCCGCCGGCACGAGCGCCGCCGCCAAAAGCTTAAGGATGAACTCAGTTTTAAACCAAATAATGAGCTTGCAGATGTGCTCGCAGGCCTTATATACCATGGGCACTCCGCCCTCTCTCTCTCTCTCTCTCTCTCTCTCTCTCTCTCTCTCTCTCTCTCTCTCTCTCTCTCTCTCTCTCTCTCTCTCTCTCTCTCTCACTCTCACTCTTTCTCTCCCCCCCCCCCCCCTCCTACTCTCCCTCCCTCCCTCCCTCCCTCTCCCTCTCTCTCTCTTTGTTGCGGCATTTTTTGCCGCGATGTGTGCACCTGGCAGCCTGCGCCTTTCCTAGGTCTTTTGCTCAATCCCTTCCCAGTCTCTCCCGTCTCCCGCCACGCTCGTTCTCCCCCACTTTTCCGCGCCCGTCCTGCTCATCCCCCATTGCCCACTATGTCGCCTACTTTTCTGTCGTATTATCTGCATGCCGCTTCCTGCTATCACGCTTCGGTCGTCAGTCCTTATCTCTCCCTACAGTTTCACCTGTCACCTCCGCTCGGGTCGCTGGTCCTGGCTTGTTGCATTTCCCTCGCTTCGCTCGTCGCGCCATTCATGCGTCACGCATCCTACGCGCCAATTTAGTGCCCCCCTTACCCGCGATAGTGGCCATTGGTGAGTGGGGGTCTGTCCCCTTGCGAACTGCGGGATTGTGCCCTCGGCACGACGCCCTCCCACCTCGACGTGGCCTCTCCCTGCGCGGGCCCTCTTGGCTTTTCCTTTGTTTCTTCTAGCCGCGTCTATCTGGAGATGGTGAATCCTCCCTTTGGCTGGGACGAGCCTCCTTTGGGGGCGTTTCTGCTTTGAGCGAGTGTTGCTCGGTGCGTGCTACAGTTTTTAGGGCATTGTGTCTAGTTAAATGCCGGACTCTCTACACTGGAGGCAGATTATTCAGCACGCGTTCGTTCCTGCTAGGTAGTTGCGCTCTCAGGAGAACTGGTGCACTCTCTAGGGTTTACAATTGGCAGTCTGAGTTAGTTCGGAGTTGGTGAATTCGTCGCACAGGCCCTTGTTTCCTGTCGTCACGCCCAGTGCTGAAACCGTTGGTTTTCTTGAACGTGTCACAAAGGCGTGTTTATTCACCCAGTTACGTCACGCGGTTTTTGAACCCCCCCCCACGTCGCTGAGTCGTTTTATCCACAATGGCCCGTCATCTTTCCATTTTTTTGTCGCGCTTTTTTGTGCCACGAGTTTTTATGAACACGCCCCACCAACTTGTATCCCATCACTGTAGCCAGCAAGGCATTCCAACCGTCACAAGATCCAGGCGAAGTACTTAAAGCCCGAGTCTACATTGGTTGGCTATCAAGTTCAGGATTCCTGAACTTGCTTTCGTAAAAGTTGGGGTAACCTAGTGAAGGGGACCAGCACGTCGCAACCCCTGGGGAAATGGGGCAGCGTGCGAATTTCGCTACATGAGACAAACCTCGAACGTACTGTTCACTCATACTTAAAATTGAAAACGCCTGGTACCATTCTAGACGCATTTTTTGCCGGGACTCACTGCGCGGGAAATGCTTTGTACAGTTTGCCCCCCCACCCCCAAAGTTGTCACTGTTTGCGCACTGTTGATTACAAGTTGTTGGGTTCCTTTTGTGTTGCGTGCGACCCTTTTTTTTTTCTGAGAAGTATTTTTCGCCAGGGGAGCTTTGCCGAAATTGTTTTCGTCCAGTGTTTTTGGCACTGTTTCCATGATCAGTAAACATGGTTTTTTACCATTCTAGATTCGGGCTTTAACATTCTCGCAGGGGCGGATTGTTTTTTTTTCGCTGTTTGTTTGGGGGTTCTTGGATCCACTCGCCCATTTCGCATGTGACCAAAACCAAAACCTTTGGATTTGGTTTCCTGCGTCTTGAGACCCTTGCTTTCATGATTAGGGAAGTCGATGGCTGTGTTCTACAGGCATTTGACGTTGACGTCGAAGTCGACATTGAGGAAGCTTCCCTAGCGATTTCAAGAGCAATGGTTACTACTCAAACCAGGTGCACTTTCGAAACCTCGCTTGGAAGCCACGCGGCCCAATTGTGGAAAGCGCAAGCGGAAGGAGAGAGCGGCGAATTTCAAAAATGCGCAACAGAAACCTGCTACCCAGGGCAGCAGAGAAATATTCCGGAGCAAAATGATGATAAAATAACCTACAATGAGGTAACATGCCCTCACAACCCCACTACCTCACAAGAGCACCGAAGTCCATTCATCCCTCAGAGCGCAATGGACGGAGAGTTGTTCGACCCGTTTTGCAGGGCAGGCCCAAGTTCGAGAGGCGGGGTAAAGTGGTGGCACTGGTTTGTTTTGGGGTGTGGAGGCCTAGTACACCCTTGCAGCTGATGTAACGCCACACGCAAGGTGAACTCCGCGATTGAGCGAACGTCAGCATTGCGTCACGTTTGCGTCAAATTTGCCAGGGAGGGAAGCGAGGGGGGTGTTTCCCTGGCGTATATGACATCTGTACATGGACCTGTTCTGCACGCATGTTGATGTAACTAGGTTCGGGTACCTTGTGCCAGGTTTGGATGAAATTTTGCGGGCTGACCCTCGATCCGAAGCAAAAAATCAGGCTTTCGGAAGGTGCTCTGATGTAATCTGCACTTTCCTTTTTTGCCTGCAGAACGCAGCCGATGTCATTTCCAACGAAGGCTGCGCCCGCAGCCCTGCTTGCTTCCAGCGAAGCCTCGAGTTGACCTCGCCACCTTCGCCAGAACCAGAACCTGCCCCCTGAGCCACTGTAGCACGCAATTGAGAGTCGAGTTTTGAGGTGTCTAAAAATATGCCTCACCGCCTTCGCCAGAACCCGCCCCTCGAGCCACTGTAGCACGCATTTCCGCGTAGCATGCTGCCCCGACTACGTCTCGCGTTGCGCGGCCACTCTCCTCTCCTCCACGCACCTGCTTGGTTCACCCTCCTGCTAGGAGGAGGTGAATTCCCGGAGAAGTGTTAGAGCTCGCTAGTTCCACCTACTCGGTAGGAACACCCTCGTGAGCCAACTGGATGCGCGTGCGTGAAACTCCGGGCGGGGGGGGAGAGGGGGAGGGGGGGGAGGGAAGGAGGAAGGGATGAGGGGGAGGAGAGGGCGGGGGAGAGGGAGAGGGGTGTGGGGGGGGGGTGCTATTCCGCCTGTCGTTTCCGACGGACCTTCGTCAGCTGACCTGGCTTGCAGCGAGCTAGCTCGCTTCCTCCTCTCGTCGCAACCTGACCTGCAGCGACGCACGTGCGCGCACCTGCCTGGCCCTTGCACCCAATCGTCTCGCACTGCTACTATAAATCCCGAGCTCGTTTTTGAGAGGCACTCATCGTCTGAAACCACACCTGCGATTGCAACTGCTCGACATTCGTCTCATCTACAACGTCCAAGTCGTATGTTGCTACTAGAGTAGTACTACTATTATTATCTTCGGAACAGCTTAAAGCCTGCAGTCCTTTCTACTGAAAGTTAAAGCTCTTAGAACCTCGGCAGTACCCACCCACTCTTAAAACCATCCGCGGGCACCTGACAGCTGAATCATGGCTTTGTCGAAGCTTCTGGTTCTCGCGCTTCTGCTGCTCGTCGTCGTCATTCTGGCGACCTTCGCCGTCGCTGACAGCGACGACGACGACGACCGTCCAGAGCGCCAGCGCAAGAGGGATGGCATGGGCAACCAGGACCGCGACCGCGACCGCAAAAGCGAACTCACCCGAAATTTCGCCAACTCAGCGAACTGTAGATTTCAAGGTTGGATTCGTCCAACCAAAATCGTGCGCCTCGAACTGAACAATTCCCCAACCCCAAATTTTACAGCTGCCTGTGGGTTGCAACACTACTCCAGAGCAGATTTCGAGAGCCAGCAAAGTGTGAAAAGCGCCAGCACAAGCTAGAGATTAACTACTGCAGCTACTACAAGCGCCAGCAAAGACTACAATCAACATCTACAAGATGACGAAGACGCCAGCACTACTTGGAAAATGAATACTACTTGTACAGTTAATTTCTATGCTTGTTTAGCTATTTCCTAGGAGTGACAACAAGGCAAGGCTACTTGTAAATAATCATTAGCTTGCTTGCTGGTCTCCAGCTAGGGTAGAAATGCCAAGGCGCCACGGGCGACCTTATCTAGGAGCCTTTAGAAATACCAAGGTGCCAAGAAAGCTTTCCTAGTATAAGTGCGCTCTCTTCTTTGTTTAAAGCTATCATATAATCTAGTGATTATGCTAGCACTCTTTCTTCAAAGATCCCTCAACCTCTACTCCTACTAACAGCCCCAGAGCTGTTATACTTGGTATCTGAGCCACGTTCCTGCATTGATTTTTTTTCTAGAACGTCATGACGTCCGAGCAACCCCCTTCTCCTGACGATTGGGTGGCTTTTCTAGAGAATTACCGCGCCCAAATCGTTTTTGAAGTTTGTGAGAGCTTCCGAGTGGAGCGCCTTTACCAGCACGTTACTCCGCGGCTCCGCATTTGCTTGGTGGCAAGCTGCACACACCTGCATCACCTTGTGGCAGCACTTCACGCAGGCGTTCACGGCTGCCTTCCAACCGGTGAATCCGAGCATCAAGGCGTGTGATCGACTTGCGGCTCTCAAGCAGCTGAAATCCGTTCAAGAGTACGTCGCCAACTTCCGCGACATTGCCCAGGAAATCCCCGACCTCTCCAACTCTGAACGCATGGACCGCTTCAAGCGTGGGTTGAAGCAGAACGTGCGTATGGAGGTTGAGCTGAGGGATTGCACGATGCTTGAGGAAATGATCAGAGTCGCTGAACGGTATGACTCAATTCGATTTGCTTACAAAGCAAGGTTGCCTTGTGCCCCGTTGCTCCCTTTTACTCCCTCCTATTAGCCCTCTGCTTCAACAGGCTTCGCTCAGCAAGAACCTGCTATGATGGACCTGGATGTGATGGAGAAGAAGCGGAATCAGAACCCCTCTGTCGTCTGCTTCAAGTGCGGCAAGAAAGGTCACATCTGACGATTCTGCCGCAGTCCTCCAAATCCAAAACCACTTCTTCCTACCCCTGGAAAAGGTGGTCACCAGTAAGTGCGGGGAGACTTTCTGGTGCAACCCCTAGCCCCATGATCGCTTCCCTTGAAAACCCTTCTCCCTCTTAACCCCTTTACCTCCCTATGACCATTCGAGGCCGAGTCGTTAAAGCCTTGATTGACAGTGGTGCCTCCTCTAATTTCATCTCTTCCTCACTTGTGTCTGAATAATCTCTCCCTCTCCAATCAAACATAAAGCCTCAGACAGTCTTACTTGCCGACAGGTCATCCCTCTCGTGTGGCCCCGTTCCTTACCCTGTCAACTGCACCATCGGATCTTACAAGGACAAGCTCTGCTTTCAGCAAGCTCCCTTGAAAGGTCACGATGTCATTCTTGGGAGAAACTGGCTTTCTGCCAAGAACCCGTCCATTGACTGGACCCATGACCATGTCACCATCAAGCATAACGGCACACACATCACCTTACCTCAATTCCCTTCTTCCCCTTCCTTACCTACTTGCAACCTTCTTTCTGCAAGACAGATAAAGAAATCCCTTAAAGACCCCACTACACAATTCTTCCTCTGCTATCTTCACCAATTTTCTCAAGCCTCATCTATCCCTCCATCTCCTCCTGTGTTTAATGACCCCCTGAAATTCAGAAACTTCTTTCTGAATTTAAGGATGTCTTTCCCTCAGACCTCCCTCCAGGACTACCACCCAAACGAACCGTTGACCACAGAATCTGCCTACAGCCTGGATCTGAGCCTACTGTGTGTGCTACATATCGGATGAGCATGGCGGAGTTGCAAGAAGTCCAGAAGCAACTTGAGGAGCTCCTCGACAAAGGCTTCATCCGCGTAAGCTCATTGCCCTAAGCAGCACCAATCCTCTTTGTCAAGAAGAAGGATGGCAGCATGCGCATGTGCATCGACTACCGTGCGCTCAACAAAATCACCATCAAGAACCGCTATCCCCTTCCTCGCGTTGAGGAGCTTTTCGACCAGTTGGGTGAGGCCAAAATCTTTTCTAAGCTTGGTCTTCGCAGCGGCTATCACCAAGTACGTGTCGCTGATGAAGATATCGAGAAAAATGCTTTTCGAACTCGGTATGGGCACTTTGAATTCCTTGTCCTTCCCTTTGGACTAACAAATGCCCCTGCCACTTTCATGTGTATGATGAATGATATCTTCCGTGATTTCTTAGACAGATTTGTCATTGTCTTCATTGATGACATTTTGATCTATGGCAAATCATTGGATGAGCATGTTCATCATATAAGACAGGTGCTGACTCTTTCTTCAAAGATCCCTCAACCTCTACTCCTACTAACAGCCCCAGAGCTGTTATACTCCTGCGGCGGCAAGTCGGGCGGCTGCACCGGCAGCGGCGCCGGCGGCTGGCAGAAAGCTGGCGCCAGCAAGCAGGGCGGCGGCAGTGGCGGGGGAGGGCACGGAGGCAGAGCGGGAAAAACGGGGAGCGGAGCTGGCGCGGGCGCGGGTCGTGGCGGGCGCTTGGGTGGCAGCAGCAGCGCTGGAAAGGTGGCGAACCGGCGGCAGGGCAACAAGGGCAGCGGAAACTGCAACGGCTCCGGCTCTGGCTCCTGCAACGGTGGGGACGGGGGCTCGGGCAGAGTGAGTGCGGCGAGCGTGCAGGGAGCAAGCATTCAGAGCACGGGGTACGTGGTGGCGGACAACCGCGAGAGGGATCGCAAGAGGGACAGCTCCGGCGACCCTGACCGCGACCGCGACCGCAAGCGCGACGGCTCTGGCTCCCGCTCTGGCTCCTGCTCTGGTTCAGCTGGTTCCTCCTCCTGCACCCGATCTGGCGGCTGCACTGGCAGCGGCGGCGGTGCTGGGCGGCAGGGTTCCACGCAGCAGCAGGGCCGCGGAAGTGGCGCAGGTGCGGGCGCAGCTGGTGGACGTGCGGGCAGCATGAGCGGAGGAGGCGGGCGCCGGGGGGCAGCTGGACGGCAGGGAAAGGCTGGGTGCACGGGCGCAGGTGCAGGGAATGGGGCTGGCGGGGGCTGAGGGGGAGTGGTGCAGGAAGCGGGAACTGTGATGGAAGTGGGTCTGGTAACTGCAATGGGAGTGGTGCGGGGAGGAAGGGAGGGAGGAGGGGAGGACGAGGGAACAACGACAACGATGGTGATGATTAGACTTGACTTGAGGTGGAAGGGTCAGTGTGATTCGAGGTGTCTTGCTGGAAGCTGAATGGCCGCATGGAGCTGCGAAAACACTGGGAACAGAAGCATGGATGGTAGAGAGGAAGGGAGGGCGAAGAGGCAACAACAATGATGGCGATGACTAGTCTCGAGGTGTACGGGTGGCTGTGATGGAACCTCAGGCCTCCCTGTGAGGAACTGTTCTTGTAAATTCTTAAGAAGCTCTCATTAGAGTGGATCATGGTGGCCATGTGGCCTGAGGCCTCTCTGTGAGGGAGTGGGTGGAGAAGAATCTCGGGTTTTGGAGAAATATGGCAGGCTAAATCATGTTCAAATGACGTTTCCACCAGTGGTGGTTTGGGGCGTTTCTGGGGGGAGGGGGGAGATGCAGTAGCAACCAATCTTTTGTTTCAACATCTTGGTTCCCTTAATGAGTCTGATTTGGTAAGGAGGTAGTTGGTGCTGGAACATCCTGCACGTGGTTCTTTACAGCTAGGTTTGACTCGGAGTCGGTATAATGCGATTCAGTACGGTGGAGTGGGACACAAGTATGATAGAAGAATGTTTTACAGGGGACTTTAGGAACACGCCCTGACTGCAACATGTCAACGGCACCTAGGGAAAAAGCCCTATCGCTTGGTGGGTGGTGGGAGAAGGAATCTCGGCGATGGGGGCGAATTTGGTTTTTGGTGGTGGGGGGCTTGGCCCCTGGGAGGCGGGCCTAGTGGGGTAGGAGGGGGTTGAGAGGGGTTGGGTGGGAAGGATTTCTCCTCAACCTTTTATCGCCACCTAGGAATGAAGACCCATCGTCTCCTGGGGGTGGGAGGGTATCTGCGCCTGGGCAGTGGGGGTGAGGGGCGTTTCGGTGGTGGGGGGCTTGGCTTCTTGAAAGGTGGGGTGGGAGGGGGTTTAGAGGGGTTGGATGGGAAACAATTCTTCCCAGCCTTTTATCGCCACCTAGGGAAGAAGCCCCATCGCCTCCTGGGTGGCGGAGGGTATCTGCGCCTGGGCGGCGGGGGAGAGGGGGGTTTGGGTGGCGGGGGGCTGGGCTTCTTGGGAGGAGGGCTGGGAGGGGGTCTCAGAGGGCTGGGGGGAGGCTTCTTGGGCGGTGGGCTGGAGATGGGTTTGGGAGGAGGGGAGGGAGGAGGTTTAGGGGGAGGGAAAGGAGGGGGTTTGGGAGAGGGAGAGGGAGGTGGTTTGAGTGGGGGAGGGCTAGTGAGCGGTTTTGGTGGGGGGCTTAGGGGAGATTTAGGGGGAGGTTTAGGGGGAGGGGAGGGAGGGGGTTTACTAGCAGTTGAAGTCTTGGGAGGGGGAGAAGGAGGGCGGGGGGGAGGCCGTGGGGGAGGGGAAGGCGGAGGGGGAGGCTTGGGGGGATTTGGGGGCGGGCGAGGGGGAGGAGATGGGGGTCTGGGGGGACTTGGGGGAGGACGAGGGGGAGGAGAGGGGCTGGGAGGGGACGTGGGGGGCGTGGAGGGGACGGGGGGGTGGGCGAGGGGGAGGGGAAGGGGGAGGGTTGGGGGGGGAGGGAGGGGGAGGCATGACGGCCTGGTAGCAGGGGGGAGGTGGGGGAAGGAGAGGGTCTGGTCGAAATAGGAGTAAAAGAGAGTGAAGGAGGGGGAAGAGGAGAGGTCGAGAATGTGCGTGGTGTCAGCTGAGAGGGAGGGAAGGGGGGAAGAAGCAGGAGTCGGGGCAGGGGCAGTGATGGCAGTGCTGGCAGTGCTGGCAATGCTGGCAGTGGTGGCAGTGCCAGTATTGGTGGTGGAAGGGGAGGGTGAGGAGGGAAAGGAGGTCCAGGCGTTGAAAGGAACGGGCAGCTGAGAGCTGTCGGATCGAAGAGCACCGGTGAGATTCCAGCAGTGGGAAGGCAGCAGCGATGCGAAGGCAGCGTAGCTCCACCCCCCTGTGGCTGATGGTGCTGCTGCATTGAGAGACGACCTGCAAGAATGAGAGGCACGTGGGAAGCGCGCAACAGGCAGCAACAACAGCAGCGGAGAGACACTGAGACTCCAGCAGTGGGACGGCAGCAGCGATGCAAAGGCAACGGAGGTACAACAGGGAGTTGAAAATAAGCCCACATTCGTTCCTTCACCCCTTTTCACTCACCAGTCCACAGCCACTGTGAGCTTGGCCCGGGTTTCACTGGTGAAGAGCGGCCGGCCGAGAGTGAGAGCGCTGCGAGGAACAGCAGTTACCGGCAGCACGCGGTTACCAGCACTGCTGTAGATAGCGTCCGGCAGGCTCTGCTCGTCCCCGTCGTCGTCCACCAGGAAATCCGGCAAGCCATCGTCACCCGCGCCCGGCGCTGGGGCACCTGGAACAGTGGGGTGGGAGGAGGACGATAGACCATTGCACCCGTGATATAAGGTTGGTTTTGAGACGTCTCAAAACCCAACCTTATATTCTGGGGCGCCTGGAACAGTGGGGCACCTGGAACAGTGGGGTGGGAGGAGAAAGATAGACCATTGCACCTCCCTCTCTTTTTTTCCTCTATTAGGGAAGCACGCCCTGCTCGTCCCGGTCATCATCCACCAGGAAATCCGGCAAGCCGTCATCACCAGCGCCTGGCAGTGGGGTGCCTGCAGGGTTGGGAGGGAAGGGATACAGAAGGAGCGGGAGAGTTGGGAGAAAACCCTTGCTAATCCCCCTCGTCATCATCCACCAGGAAATACTGCAAGCCGTTGTCCCTTGTGCCCCGTGCTGGTGTGCCTGTGGGGTTGGGATAGGATACAGAAGGATTGTGAGAGTTGTTACCAACTCTGCTTGTGAAACAACCTCTGCTTTTCTCTGTCGCTATCCACCAGATAAGAAAGACTGGTAAGCTTACCGGAAGGAACGCCGGAGGTGGCGGGGAGCCGGAGGGAATGTTGTGGCAGTGGGGAGAAAGAATGCTAGCATGGGGTGATGGTGTGGTGAGGCATTGAATTCTCCCTCAGAAATTGTGAGGCATTGAATCCCCAGTAGAAACTGCTTCTCAAGAATTAGGCCCATTGAGTGCAGGCTCAATTGGTTATTGTTGGTAAGTGTGTGGCGAGGGACTGGCTAGGTTAAGTCTGGGGAAGGCATACCTGAGGAAGGGTCGAGCAGGTAGACGACGTGCACGAGGTTGTGAACGTCGACAGACTTGAGAATGGGGGAGAGGCCGGGTAGGAGAGAGGAGGAGGGGGAGGGGGAGGAGGAGGAGGAGGAGGAGGAGGAGGAGGAGGAGGAGGAGGAGGAGGAGGAGGAGGAGGAGGAGGAGGAGGAGGAGGAGGAGGAGGAGGAGGAGGAGGAGGAGGAGGAGGAGGAGGAGGAGGAGGAGTTGGTGGTGACAGTATCGAATGTGCCAGTGAGGCTGGCCTCTATGGTCCATCGCACCATGGCTGTGCCTGAAGGGGGGATGCTGCCGATCTGGGGGCGGGAAGGGAGAGAGGAGAGAGAAGGCGGGGTTGGGGGCAAGGATAGTGAGTGAGAGGTGTGCGGCCTAGTGGTGAGGGGAATTGCCCCCCTAGGCCCATCGCACCATCGCTGGAGCCCAAGGGGGGATGCTGCCGATCTGGGTGGGGGGGGATGGGGGGGGAGGGGAGGTGTGGAAAGGTGGAAAGAGGCAGAAAGAGGTGAAAACGATTATTGGAAGATGGGGGCAGTATAGGCATTAGGGGGACGAAGAATTTGAGAATAAATAAATATATATATATATAAACAGCTATTTTTGTTAGTTATAAAAGAACTGAATTCTCATAAACCAAACTCAGAAGTATACAGCAAGGAAGAGGCATGGATGAGGGTGGTTCGAACAAAAGGAATGTGCAGTATGCATGTGTCCACATGTGGATACCCACATGTGCATACCCACATGTGTGCTGCATTGCATACCTGAACAGCGGAGGATGGCTGCAGCTCCTCCCCGACAACCGTCTGTGTGACTGTGACTGGCTTCATTGTGGCGCTATCAACCGGCAGCAGCGACTGAGTGGCGTGGCGACAGCAGCAGCTCTACCCTGGCCTGGATTACACACCAACGTGCCTGAACGGCGAAGGATGGACTTGCGTTGAGGTGCTCAAGAATGTGCATACCCACATCACATGTGTGTGCATACCTGAACGGAGAAGGATGGAGGCTGGGGCTCCTCCCCGACAGCCGTCTGTGTGATAGTGACAGGCACTGATGTGGCGTTAACAACGGGCAGCAGTGACTGGGTGGCGACAGCAGCAGCTGTACCATGTCCTGCGTTATACACCAGTGCTCCAAGGGTAATGGGCACTGGGGCCTCCACCTTGTGGAGGCAGAGGGAAATGGGGGAAGGCAGGGGGAAATGGAGGAAGGCAGGGGGGAAGTGAATAGGCGGGCAGCCGTGACTGAGTGGCGACAGCAGCAGCTGTACCCTGGCCTGCGTTATACACCAGTGCTCCAGGGATCCCGGGCACTGGGGGCTCAACCTGAAACAGCAGAGAGGAGGGGAAAGCAGGGAGAAAGGGGAAGCAGGGAGAAAAGTGAAAGGCAGGCAAAGAAATGGGAGCACAGAACAAAGTGGGAAGTGGGAAATGGGAAATGGGAAATGGGAAATGGGAAAAGGGAAATGGGAAATGGGAAATGGGAAATGGGAAATGGGAAGTGGGAAGTGGGAAGTGGGAAGTGGGAAATGGGAAATGGGAAGTGGGAAGTGGGAAGTGGGAAATGGGAAATGGGAAATGGGAAATGGGAAATGGGAATTGGGAAATGGGAAATGGGAAATGGGACTTCAGAATAAAGTGGGACACTGGGGACGTGATCTTGAGAGACAGGGATCGAGAAGTCAAGGGAGACAAGGGAGGAAGGGGAGCACATAGGAAGGATTTTTCATAGAGATAGGGACCAAAGATAATTCCATCAGTGGAAAAAAGCAGGAAAAGCAGGAGGAGTATCCAGGTCGTCCCCTTGCATGTGCTTGGGCAAAAAGCAGTGCACTTGCAGTTGAGGGTGGAGTGTCTGACTGGCGCATGTTGCTGCATTGCATGCTCTCGTGTCACTGTGAGGTGAGGCTCACCTGTGGGGTATCCAGGTCGCCCCCTTGCACGTGCTTGGGCGCCAAGCAGTGCTGATGCCTTACTTGTTGCCTTTTCAACACTCCCTAGCACGCTCACCAGTGGCACGCTCACCAGTGGCACGCTCACCAGTGGCATGCTCACCTGTGGCATGCTAACCTTTCAAGTCTAGCAGGCTCACCTGTGGGGTATCCAGGTCGTCCCCTTGCACGTGCTTGGGCACGAAGTAGTGCACTTGCAGCTTGGGCGGCGGAGCCACTGTTACACGCACGCTCGTTAGATTCACTTGCTTCACCACTGGTGGTGGTGCTGCTGCTGGTGCTGTTGCTGCTGCTGCTGTTGCTGAGGGTGCTGGTGATGGTGCTGACGTGGCACCTGCAGTAGATAATGCTGGTGCTGGTGCTGATGGTGCTGATGGTGACGGTACTGATGATGCTGACGTGTCTGGTAGCGTGTACTGCAGACTGCCGCCCAGTTTGAAGTTGGTGGGGGCAGCAGGGGCGGCGCAGTCAAGCACGAGGAGCAGCCAATCGACTGAGGCAGACGAGTTTGGGGCAAGGGCTCCTGCAGCGAGGAGAGGGGGCGGGAGGAGGGGGGAATACAAGGTAATTTGAGCCAGTGGAAGTGTCTCGGTTATGCGTAGGTGGGAGGGGCGGCGCAGTCGAGTGTGAGGAGCAGCCAATTGACCCAGACAGACGAGCTCGGGGCAAGGGTTACTGCAGTGAGGAGAGGGGGGAGGAAAGGGGACCACAAGGTAACTTGAGCCAGTGGAAGTGTCTGATGTAGGATCAATTGATGTATGCATACTAATAGGATCTGATTGATGTATGCATACTAATAGGACCTGATTGATGTATGCATACTAAAAGGATCTGATTGATGTATGCATACTAAAAGGATCTGATTGATGTATGCATACGAATAGGATCTGATTGATGTATGCATACTAATAGGATCTGATTGATGTATGCATACTAATAGGATCTGCTTGATGTATGCATACTAATAGGATCTGATTGATGTATGCATACTAAAATGATCTGATTGATGTATGCATACTAAAAGGATCTGATTGATGTATGCATACGAATAGGATCTGATTGATGTATGAATACTAATAGGATCTGATTGATGTATGCATACTAATAGGATCTGCTTGATGTATGCATACTAATAGAATCTGATTGATGTATGCATACTAATAGGATCTGATTGATGTATGCATACTAATAGGATCTGATTGATGTATGCATACTAATAGGATCTGATTGATGTATGCATGCTATTAGGATCTGCATCAATAGGATACTGTTGGCATCACCTGCCTCAGTCTCACCTGCACCAGTCACCTCCCCTCACCTGCGCCGTTCACATACGCAATGCCGTCCAGCACAGGGTCGCTGAACACAAAGCAGTGCGAGGCGTCCGTGCCGTTGGGGTATGTGATGCGCGTCGTCACTGCCACGTCAGCCATGGGCCACTGCTCAGTGTTCGATATGTACACGTGTGCACGCACCTACAGAGGGGGCGGGGGTTGGGAGGGGGTTTTTTTTATGGGGGGGAGGTTGGGAGGGTGGAGAGGGGAAAGGTTTAGGAAGATGAAACTGCAGAGAATGCAGCCAGCTAGGCTGCACCCTAAACCCTAAAATCCAAACCCTGAAACAATTTCTTAAACCTTGTGTGTCATTATCTCATCTCTTATAACAGGAATATATGGGTGCTCTTGGGAGGGATATGATGCGACACAATCCGATATAGCACGAATAACGCCGTGCGATGGGGCGTTCGCAATCTAGTTCTGAGGCGCCTCAGAAACAAGCTGGGCTTACCACAGGGTGAGAGGCGGTGGTTTGCCGCCGAGCCACAAGCGGCCGTGAGCGCATACTGGCTTCTGGAGAAAAACGGAGCTCCACGGTAGGTGGTGTTGAGCCGGGGGGGAGAGAGGCGAGCGAGAAGCCTCAGAAACAAGCTGCACTCACCACAGGGTGAGAGGCGGTGGTTTGCTGCCGAGCCACAAGCGGCCTCTGAGCCCCTGGAAGCATACTGGCTTCTGGAGAAAAGCGGAGCTCCATGGTAGGTGGCGTTGAGCCGGGGGTGAGAGACGCCAGAGAGGCGGATGTGGTGGTAGCGGTGGTGGGAGCGGTGGTTGGAGTGGTGGTGGTGGTGATGGTGGTGGTTGTGCTGCTGGTGGCCGTGCTGGTGGTGGTATTGGTGGTGGGAGAGGGGGCTATGCTTGAGACAGAGTATGCAGCTAGCTCTGTCTGGTTTGCCGGGTCGAATCGGGCTGTCAGCTCCGCAGTCACACTGGAAGTCTCAAAGAAGGTTCCTGGGGAATGGGTGGTTGAGGAAGAGATCGGGTATCTGAGCTGAGATGTCTAGAGAGGGGCGCGATTGGTGCTTTTGAGGATTCTCAGAAAAAACTTGCAGAAACTTGAGCTATCTTGTGGCATAGCACTCAGGAGGCACACACACACAAGCATTTCTTACCCCCCACTAGACGCCCCCTTACCCCCCACTAGACTCCCTCCTGCCTCCAAGGAACGCCTAGTCACGTACAACATGCCGCTCGTTCACACCCCACCGCCAGCACACCACACCACCACATGCATCACGCTTGGAGCCACGCCATGCTGTGGATGTGGCGACCAGTCCACGCTTGTAGCAACGGATGTGGGGAGGTGGGGGGGGGTTGGGGATGGCCCACCAGTCCATGCTTCCTCCATGAATGACAATAGCACCTCTCACTCACTCACACACACACACACACACACACACACACACTTTCCCCCCACCAACGAACACCATATTACCTCCAACGAACGCCAGGTCATGCACAAGGTGATTTTTGAGTCGACTCGAAAATCGCCAGGTCATGCACAATGTGCCGCACGATGTGTCGCACGATGTGTCACCACACCGCCACGCGCTCCATGGTCGAGTGTGGCATGCATGCACATTGACACACAACGCTTTCTACCCCCCACTAGACGCCCTCTCACCTCCAACGAACGCCAGGTCGTGTACGATATGCCGCTCGTTCGCTCCCCACTGCCACCACCACGTGCCAGCTGTGAACCCCACCGACGCTGACGTGGCGCCGAGGATCGCCGGGATATCCACAAATGCAGTGAGCACCGGTACAGCTGGCTTGACCGGGGAAGTGGAGGGAGCGGAAGGAGCTCCAGCCAGAAACACCTTGAGCGTCTGGGAGGCTCCTTCGTAGCTCACCCACGCATGCTGCTGGGTGTTGAGAGGAAAGGCCTGGAGGGAGGGGGAAGAAGGGGAGGAAGGGGAGGAAGGGAGAGGAGAGAAAGGGGGATGTCCGCGAGGGCAGTGAGCACGGCTGGCTTGACCGGCGAAGTGGAGGGAGCGGAGGGAGCTTCAGCTAGGGATACGCTGAGGGTTTGGGAAGGGCCGTCATAGGTCACCCACGCATGCTGCTGGTTGTTGAGAGGAAAGGCCTGGATGGAGGGGGGAGGAGGGGGAAGGAGGGGGAAGGAGGGGGAAGGAGGGGGAAGGAGGGGGTGGAAGGGGAGGAAGGGAGAGGAGAGAAGAGGGTATATCCACGAGGGCAGTGAGCACCGGTACAGCTGGCTTAACCAGGGAAGTGGAGGGAGTGGAGGGAGCTTCAGCTACAAATACGCTGAGTGCCTGAGCAGCTCCTTCGTAGCTCACCCATACATGCTGCTGGGTGTTGAAAGGAAAGGCCTGGGGGGAGTTGGGGGGGTAGGGGGGGTAGGGGGAGCGGAGGGGGAGAGGTTACTTCACACAGGTCACACAGGTCACACAGGTCACCCAGGTCACCCAGGTCACCCGGGCATGCATGCATCCGCACACTGGTGGTACGCATGGTAGAGAGCGAAAGCGAAACGCACCTCGGCGTCTGAAAGCATCACTGCATTTCTGCACAACCATCTCCTGCAACGACTCCCGTAGCAGAGATGGCTTTACAGACCAAGCAAGGGGAAAACTATGGACCACACCTGGTGTCATGAGTCGATTCTTGAGTCGACTCAAAACCCGTGTGTAATGAGTCGACTCAGAACCCGTGTGTAATGAGTCGACTCAAAACCCGTGTGTGATGAGTCGACTCAAAAATCGACTCATTACACAAGTAAGGGGAAAACTACGGATCACACCCGCCAGACTATGGTATACAGGGTATAGGGCTTTGGGGCTATGGTGCAATGAGACTCGCCAGAGACGGCTATGGACTCACAGAGACGGCTTTGCGGACCAAGCAAGGGGAAAACTACGGAGCACACCTGGAAACAACGCACCTCGGCGTCTGAAAGCGTCGCTGCATACTCTGCACCAATACAACCATCTCCTGCCACGACTCCCTTAGCAGAGACGGCAATACAGGGTACGGGACACAGGCGAAATTCCACTGCCACACTGTTGAGGAAAGCTCCCCCCGCCGAGCCATAGCCCAGGGAGCTGCAGGGAGAAAAGGAAGGAAGATCAAAGAGGGGGATAGGAGATTGAGACGGCAATACAGGGTATAGGGCGTCGGGGCACAGGCGGAACTCCACTGCCACACTGTTGTTGAAGGTACCATTGGTCAAGCCATAGCCGAGGGAGCTGCAGAGGAACGGTGGAAGGCAGGAGAAGAGGAGAACTGGAGGAGTCTATTTTTGAGGCGCCTCAAAAATGGAGGTTGAGGCGGCTATAAGAGGGGTAAAGGGCACAGGCAATTGCACTCCTCCAGACATCTCCACTGCCCCACTGTTGAGGAAAGAGCCGTTGTCCCACCCAGCCGTAGCTGAGGGAGCTGCAGACGGAAGATGGAGGACAGGATAAGAGGGGACTTGGAGGAGGCTGAGACAGCTAGAAGAGGGTTACGGGGCACGGGCGAAACTCCAGTGCCACACTGTTGGTGAAAGTGCCGTTGGCCAAGCCATAGCCGAGGGAGCTAGCTGCAGCTCAGGAAAGATGGAGGAAGGATGAAGACAGGACTTGGAGGAGGCTGCAGGGTATTTTTGAGAATTCTAACAAAATTGCAGGGTATTTTTTAGAATTCTCAAAAATACCCTGCAGATGGAGGAATGGATGAAGACAGGACTTGGAGGAGGTTGAGATGGCCATAATGGTTACGGGGCACAGGCAAACCTTCACTGCCACACTGTTGGCGAAAGTACCATTGGCCGGGCCGTAGCCAGGAGAGCTGCAGGGAAGGGAAGGGTGAAGAAGCAGGGAGAAAAGGCTGCTGAGACAAATTTTGAAGCGCCTCAGAAACAGACTCCTCAGAGAGAGCTGCAGTGAAGAGAAGGGTGAAGGAGCAGGGAGAGAAAGAGGAGGCTGAGACAGCAACACAGAGGGCAGGGAACAGGTGACACTCGACTGCAGCACTGTTGACAAACGTGCCATTGACCAGGCTGTAGCCAAGGGATCTGCAAAAAGACGACTGCAACGTAGGAGGCAGAGAAGAGAGAAGGGTGAAGGAGCAGGGAGGAAGAGAGGAGGCTGAGACATCAACGCTGAGGAGTCCACTGGCCAGGCCGTAGCCAAGGGATCTGCACAATGGTGACTGCAACAAAGGAAGCAGGCTGAAGGGTGAAGGAGCAGGGAGTTTTTGAGAATTCTCAAAAACACCCGGCAAAATCAACAAAGGAAGCAGGCTGAAGGGTGAAGGAGCAGGGAGAGAAAGAGGAGGCTGAGACAGCAACACAGAGAGGACAGGGCACCTGTTATCGTGCTCCGATTTTTGTAAGTGACTTTTGAGTCGACTCAAAAGACAGGGCACCTGTTATCGCGCTTCGATTTTTGTAGGCGCCTCAAAAATAGCAGCACTGCACTCTGCTCCGCGGTGCATCACGCCTTTGAGTCGACTCAAAACGAGGTGACTTCTGGGTCGACTCAAAACGAGGTGACTTGTGAGTCGACTCAGAAGTCGCCGAATAGCTGCCCTGCACTCTGCTCCGCGGTGCATCATCCCTTACAGGATTAGGGAATGGAATGATGCACACACAAGGGCTCCTCTCACCCCTTCCTTGCTTTTCTCATGGGCCAGTACGCTGCAATCCAGTGGGTTGGTTGGATATAGGTAGGTCTGCAGTAGTGAGGCGCCTCAGAAGAGGGTTCACTTTTTCCTCACCTTGCGTTTGCATGCCCGAGGGCTGTTGTTGGGCCATTGGTGAGCACAAAGGTGAAGCCTCGACCCACGCTCTGAAAAAGCAAAAACAAAACGAGGCAAATCGGGGAGAGATTATAGGATTGCAGGTAAAGAATGGGGGGTCAGTCGAATGACAAATGAGAGCGAATGTATGTGTCTTTTTACAATTTTAAAAAAGCTCTCACCAGGAGAGAGTAAGGAAGAAGACCCGGGGTGAGCTGTGCGGACCATTTTCTCAAGGCACGGCAGTCAAAGTTTTTTTACTGAATTAGAAGCCTATGTTTTAGGCGCCTCAAAAATACTTTCTTATTTGCTAAACCTGCTCCCGTCAACTGCTGCTCAATGGAATTATGACCCTGACTGGGCCGTGAGGACCATGCCATTTTCTCAAGGCATGGCTGTTGCAGTTGAGCTGGTTCTTGAGAATTCTGAAAAACCAACTCATGGAATTCCAAGTTACTGACTCGACGAGAAGCCTTGACTCACCACGTTGGAGCCCATCCGTCAGCCAGGAAGGTGAAGGCAAGGGGTGTAGGGAGAGAATTCGAAGGCGGTGACTTTTGAGTCGACTCAAAAGCCATCGGTCAGCCAGGAAGGTGAAGGCAAAGGGGTGGAGGGATAGAATTCAAAGACGTGGAGCAGCGACAGGGGGTGAGGAGAAGGCAGAGGGGTGAGAGAGAGAGTTGAGAAGGGGAGAGGACGAGAGAGGGATGGAATCAAAATGGTTATTTCTGAGAATTCTCAAAAATACCCTGCAATCTCCACGTTAGTCGCACACTCGAGAAGGCGGCCAGAGGGGGCGAGGAGGGAGAGGAGCGAAAGGGAGTGGAGAGGGGCGAGAGGGAGAGTGGGGGAGTGGAGAGGAGCGAGAGGGAGAGTGGGGGAGTGGAGAGGACGAGAAATTAAAGGAAGTCGAATGGAAAAAGGTCACCTGCTCACAACGTTAGCTGCACTGCACATAATATAGTTTTGAGATGTCTCAAACCCACATTATCATCAAGTGGGTCAACCACTCACCATGTTAGCCGCGGACTCATCGTGTGGCAGATCCAGTTTTGAGACGTCTCAGAACTATCTTATTATCAAGTGGGTCAACCACTCGTAACGTAACTCACCACGTTAGCTGCACTGCACACTCGTCGTGTGATAACAATTGAGACGTCTCAAAACTGCATTATCATCAAGTGGGTCAGCCACACACCATGTTAACCGCGCACTCATCGTGTGATAAAAATCTAGTTTTGAGTCGTGTCAAAACCGCATTATCATCTAGTGGATCACCTACTCACCACGTAAGCCGCGCACTCGTCAGCCAGGAAGGTGAAGGAAAAGGTGGCCAGAGGGAGTGAGGACGGAGAGAGGAACGAGGGAGAGTGGGGAAGGGGAGAGGACGAGAAAGGAAAGGAAAGTCAGATAGAAGAAGGTCAACCACTCACCACGTTGGCCGCACACTCGTCAGCCAGGAAGGTGAAGGAGAAGGCGGCCTCAAAGGCGGTGGAGAGGCCAGAGGGGGTGAGGAGGGGGAGGGGCGAGAGGGAGAGGGCGGAGCCAACGGTGTTGTAGGAGTCCAGCCAGAGAGGGAAGAGCGGCGCCGGGCCCAGCTGTGCGTAGCCGTTGAGGTCGAAGGGGGCCGACCCGGCAAAGCCAGCACAGTGCAGGGAGGATTTCGTTGCCCTGCAGGTGGCTGTTGGGGTGGGCTGTGCTGCTGGGAGGAAGCCTGGGGTGACTGGGATTGGGTGGGGGGTAGGGGAAGGGAGTGGGTAAATTCGGCAAAATGCAGGGAGGATTTTGTTGCACTGCATGTTGCTGTTTGGGGGGGTTGTGGTGCTGGCAGGAAGCCTGGGTAGACTGGTGTTGACGGGGGGGAGGCAGAGAGGGGATTCGCTGAGAGGACAAGAACGAGGGGGAGAGGGGAGGGGGTGAGGAGAGATTTAACAGGTGGAGAGGGACAATAGGGAGTGGTGCAATAGCAAGAGGATTACGTAGGTTAGGGGGACTGAAAACTGCTACAGGGTTGACTTATGAAAGCTTGACATATCACAATAGCAGCTATACTACACGCATGGAAAAGCACGCGCTAGTATCAGAATGTTTTTGAGTCGACTCTCAAAAGCAGACGCATGGCAAAGCACACCCTAGTATCAGCATGCGTATCTTTTGGCTCAAGTTTTGAGGCGCCTCAAAAACCGCGTGATAGAAGTCTAGTTTTGAGGCGCCTCAAGACACCCTAGTATCAGCATGCGTTTCATTTGGCTCAAAAGCACATGCATGGCCGAGCAGCTATTTTTGAGGCGCCTCAAAACTAAAGCACATGCATGGCAGAGCAGCTATACTACACGCATGGCAAAGCACACCCTAGTACCAGCACCTATTCACAAGCTCGCCAGCATCGAATGCGAGGGACTGGATTAGGCGGTGATGGTCTGTCTGTATCGCCACATCCCGTCACATCAACTCACCATTGTCACACTGTTGATTCACCATGGGCTAGCATCAGCACACCTGTACTGAACGAGGGGGAGTGGATGGGGTGGTGCTAGTCCATACATATCGCCACTCCACGGACCACATCCCCAGGCGACTCTTGAGTCTCTCACAACTCACCAGTGTTGAAGGTGAACGAGTGGATAAGGTGATGATCATCGGTGTCGCCACATCCCCACCACCACGTGCCAGCTGTGAAGCCCACAGATGCTGACGTGGCGCCAATCACAGCCACAAGATCGAGAGCCGCCCTCAAGACGGGTTCCTCGGGCTTCACCCCGTCGCTGCCGCCCAGGTAGACCTCCAGGGACTGGGACGAGCTGTCGTACGCCACCCACGCGTGCTGCGGCTCGTTCAGGGCGAACGCCTGAAAGGGGGGAGAGAAGACACACGAACGCCTGAAAGGGAGGAGAGAAGACACACGAACGCCTGAAAGGGAGGGAAGTGAAAGAATGAAAGGCAGGGCAGGGGTCAATAGTTCAAGCTCTGCTCAAGGGGTGAGCAGAGCTCGTTCAGGGCGAACGCCTGGAAGGCAGGAGAGAAGAAACACGATGTGGGGGTCAGGGGTGAGGGGAAGGCTGGGACGAGCTGGGGGTGAGGGGAAGGCTGGGACGAGCTGGGGGTGAGGGGAAGGCTGGGACGAGCTGCCATACGCCAGCCACGCGTGCTGCCTCTCGTTTAGGGCGAATTCCTGGAGGGCAGGGGGGAAGCTTTTGAGTCGACTCAAAAGTCCCCTACGAATTCCTGGAGGGCAGGGGGGAAGCTTTTGAGTCGACTCAAAAGTCCCCTACGAATTCCTGGAGGGCAGGGGGGAAGCTTTTGAGTCGACTCAAAAGTCCCCTACGAATTCCTGGAGGGCAGGGGGGAAGCTTTTGAGTCGACTCAAAAGTCCCCTACGAATTCCTGGGGGGCAGGGGGGAAGCTTTTGAGTCGACTCAAAAGTCCCCTACGAATTCCTGGAGGGCAGGGGGGAAGCGGAGCAGTTTTACGGGGTGAGCAGGATGAAGAGTAGCTCGCAGGCCGCCACAATGCATCACAGCGCATCATGCTCCAACATGTCCGTGCCGCATCTCACTGCACTGAACCGCCCCGAAATCGCACCTTCTCCCCAGCGAGCCCGGTGACCTGGTGGGCAGCAGCGCAGCTGTTGACCACCAGAGCCACACACGAGATGACAGGGCTGCCTTCACCGCGCTAAACCGCATTCAACAGTGGCACCGTACTGAACCGTTCCTTATCCCCTGTAAGCCCAGCCATCTGGTGGGAAGCAGCGCCATTGTAACCTTACAGGGGATCAGCCACGGTTCGAACGTGTCACCTAAAGCCGTGGCGTTAACCACTGAAGCCACACACGACGGCAGGCCCTGCATTCACCGCACTATATTGCACTGAACTCCACTCAACTGCATTGGACCATACATCCCCGCACTGAGCCGCACCTTATCCCCTGTAAGCCCGGTCATCTGGTCGGCAGCAGCGCAGTTGTCGCCTGATGCCTTGCCGTTGACCACCAGAGCCACACACGAGGTGGGCCCCGACCGCAGCTCCACCGCCACGCTCCCGTTGAACGCCCCTGGGGCTGCTCCCCCGTACCCTATGGCCCTGCCAGAGGAAGGGAGTTGGGGGAGAGGGAACGGAACGGGAGATATCGGGTTCGATGTAGACTAGAGCAACACCCCTCAATTTTACAAAAGCATTTTATCAAGTCGCTGCCACGCAAAGTCATGGCACCTACTAAATGGTGCTCCCTTGGACAATCCATGTCATTGCGACTCACCCCATGTCATTGCGACTCACCCCATGTCATTGCGACTCACCCCATGTCATTGCGACTCACCCCATGTCATTGCGACTCACCCCATGTCGCTCGACCCGCACGCAGTCTTGTCCCCGCTCGTGATGACGAACGCCAGGCCCCTGCTGCCCCTGTAGCCATACGACGTCTCCGTCAACACCGAGAACGAAAACGCCGCCTCAAACGCCACCACAGCTGCCGCTGCTGCTGTTGTTGCTGCTGCTGCTGCTCCTCCTGCTGACGTGGACGCATCCAGCGAGAGCGCCAGGTCAGCAAGAGTGAGCGCACTGCCAGCAGTGCCACCCGTGTCGAGGACGAGAGGGAAGTCGGGTGCGGGCCCCACATGCGCGTAGCCGTTGAGGAAGAAGGGTGAGCGGCCGGCAAAGCCGGTGCAAGCCAGGCGCGTGTTGGAGGAGGTGAGCCGGCACTTGCTGGGGGGAGCGGAGGGTGGCAGAGACTGCTGGGAGCCGGGGGGGACTGGGGGAGGGGGGAGGGGGAGCAGGGGAGGGGGAGCAGGGAGGAAGGAGAGAAGGGGAAGAAAGTATGGAAAGAGGGAGCATAGTAAGTACCAGAGGGAATGGGACGAGAGGGAAGTTGGGCGCCGGCCCCACATGGGCGCAGCCGTTGAGGAGGAAGGGTGAGCGGCCGGCAAAGCCGGTGCAAGCCAGGCGCGTGTTGGAGGAGGTGAGCTGGCACTTGCTGGGGGGAGCGGAGGGCGGCAGGGACTGCTGGGAGAAAGGGGGGACTGGGGGAGGGGGGAGGGGGAAGGAAGGAGGCACAGTTATTTCTATGTTCGTTGTTTGAATCAAGGGTTAGTACCAATTCTACGGACGCGTGGACAATGGACTAATGGACAATGACAATGGTACCAATTGTTGTTGTCAGTATCAATTGTTAGTACAATGGACGTATGGACCTAATTATTCACATTGGACCTATGGACCTCATTATTAACAATAGACCTATGGCTAGATTATTCACACCTGCAATTAATATCAACCTTTTTGGTGCAGTACCAACCTTTTGGTAGATCCAAAGCAATGGGTAGATGAAGCTTGGATAAAGACAGAGTGCACGATACAGTCGTCTAGGCTATGCGCTTACGATAATGCTTACCGGCTTCAAAGGAGAGCGAGTGAATGATGTGGTCCTCCAGGTCGTCCACCCACGTCCACCACGACCCCCCCGTGAATCCCACCGAGATGCCCGAGGTGGCCCCCAGAACAGCCCGCACGTCCACAGGCGCGACTAGTGTGGCGGACTGCGGCTTGGAGGGCGACCCCCCTGGCGACACAAACACCTGCAGGGCGCGCGTGCTGCCGTCGTAGCTCACCCACACGTGCTGGGGCTCGTTCAGAGTGAAGGCCTGGGGGGAGAGGGAAAGAGAGGACGAGAGAGGGAGAGCGAGAGCCTGAGGCCATTAGAGGAGATCACAAGGGGCGAGTGGGTGATCACTAGGGGCGAGTGGGTGATCACAAGGGGCGAGTGGGTGATCACAAGGGGCGAGTGGGTGATCACAAGGGGCGAGTGGGTGATCACAAGGGGCGAGTGGGTGATCACAAGGGGCGAGTGGGTGATCACAAGGGGCGAGTGGGTGATCACAAGGGGCGAGTGGGTGATCACAAGGGGCGAGTGGGAGATCACTAGGGGGATTGAGAGAGTGAGAGCCTGAGGTAGCATCCCCCCAGGAGGGCCGGCATCTCCAGGGGCACAACGAGGGCGGCGGTCTGGGGCTTGAAGCGCGACCCCCCCGGCGACACAAACACCTGCAGGGCGCAGGCGCTGCCGTCGTAGCTCCAAGCTGTTATGAGCTGCCGTCGTAGCTCACCCACACGTGCTGTTAGGGCAACACCTGCCTGTGTCGCCGGGGGGCGTCCACGACCACCCCAGTGACACAAACACCGTTACCCAAGCAGCTGTTATCTGAGCAGGTCTTACCTGAGCGGGGGGCAGCAGCGCCATGGCATCGGAGTCGGCGCAGTTGTCGCCTGCCACCTCCCCCCCCACCACCACCGCCACACACGCGGTCGGCCGAGATCGCATCTCCACCGCAATGCTTTGTGCAAACGAGTTGTTGGGGGCAAACCCGTAGCCTATGGCGCTGGTGGGAGGAGAGAGAGGGTAATGAGGGGGAGAGGGGGGGTGGGGCAGGAATGGTAAATTGAGAGAACATAAAGGGATTGGGTAGGGGGCAAGGAAGGGGGCAAGGCCGGGGGCAAGGCCGGGGGCAAGGAAGGGGGCAAGGAAGGGGGCAAGGAAGGGGGCAAGGCCGGGGAAAGGAAGGGGGCAAGGAAGGGGCCAAGGAAGGGGGCAAGGCCGGGGGCAGGGGAGGGGGCAAGCCTGGGGACCAAGTCAGAGGTACTCATCTGCCCTCTGCTCCTCTCCCGCATGCCATCTCGTGCCTCCCGTCCATCCATGACTCTAAAATAGATTCACCATCAACTAACACCTTCTTTTGAGGCGCCTCAAAAGTCGTCTCCTACCAGCTCCCCTCGCCTTCCCGAGCGGTCTTCTCCCTCCTGCGCTCCTCGCCCTCCCATCCCTCTCTGACTTGTAGCTCTGTGCAAGTGGGGGGCACCCCCCAGCCCCCTCACCACCCCGAGCTCCCCCCACACATGGTCTTCTCCCCGCAGTGGCACAAAGCCTCGGTCCATCCTTCCCTTCCCCTTGTCCCTCACCTTAACGCGCCTCCCACACGCGGTCTTCTCCCCCGCAGTGAGCCCCCGGTTGCCCCAGCGGTTGTGATCCTTTCAGGCTTACCATCCATCCTTCCCTTCCCCTTGTCCCTCACCTCTTAGCGCTCCGCCCACACGCGGTCTTCTCCCCCGCAGTGATCACGAACGCGAGCCCCCGGTTGCCCCAACTGTTGTAATCCGCCCTCGCCGCAAACGAAAACGAGAACGCCGCCTCAAACGCCACCAATTCCCCACCACTGCTGCTGCCGCTTCCAGTGCCGCCTGCCTCGGTGCCGAGGCTGAGGTTTAGGCTCGGGATGGAGAGGGCGCAGCCGGCAGCGTTGGTGGTGGTGTCGAGCCAGATGGGGAAGTTTGGTCCGGGGCCCACCTGGGCATCGCCATTGAGCTGGAAGAAGGGCGAGGAGAGCATAGGGGAGGAGGAGGAGGAGGAGAAGCCGACACAGGAGATGCTGGTAGCAGTGACGTTGCAGGGGCCAGAGGAGGGGGCGGATGGAGGAGGGGGAGGTGCAGTGGCAGTACCAGCAGTAGTGGCGGTACCAACACCAGTACCAGCAGTAGTGGCGGTACCAACACCAGTACCAGCAGTAGTGGCCGTACCAACACCAGTACCAGCAGTAGTGGCCGTACCAACACCAGTACCAGCAGTAGTGGCGGTACCAACACCAGTACCAGCAGTAGTGGCGGTACCAACACCAGTACCAGCAGTAGTGGTCGTACCAACACCAGTACCAGCAGTAGTGGCCGTACCAACACCAGTACCAGCAGTAGTGGCGGTACCAACACCAGTACCAGCAGTAGTGGCCGTACCAACAGCAGTACCAGCAGTAGTGGCGGTACCAACAGCAGTAGCAGCAGTAGTGGCGGTACCAACAGCAGTAGCAGCAGTAGTGGCGGTACCAACAGCAGTACCAGCAGTAGTGGCGGTACCAACACCAGTACCAGCAGTAGTGGCCGTACCAACACCAGTACCAGCAGTAGTGGCGGTACCAACAACCGTACCAGCGTCAGCAGAGGCAGTGGTGAAGAGCCCACCGCCAGCAGCAGAGGGGTTCGTGGCTCCATAGGAGCTGATCGTTGCACTGGAGGTGTAGTCCGAAGCAAGAAACACGTTCGGCGTTTCCGAGCCGCCTGTTGGCTCGGCCAAGCCAGTCAGGTTTGGCTCGGTGCTGGGAGTGTCAGAAGCGGCAGTACCACTGCCATTGGCTTGGGCAGTGGTAGCAGTGGCAGTGAAAGTACTAGTTTCGGCTCCATTCGAGGCTACCGTTGCACCGGTGCTGTAGTCCGAAGCAAGAAACACGTTCGGTGTTCCCGAGCCTGTTGGCTCGGCCAAATCGGTCAGGCTTGGCTCGGCGCTGGGAGTATCAGCAGTGATGTCTCCAGGGGAGGCGGTATTTGCCAGTGGGTCGGCAGCAGCGGCTCTCAGCGTTGCCGCTGCTGAGCAATACAAGAAGATTAGGAGGATCGCGAAGGTAGTATGACGCCCACGGCCCATCGGAACCAGTGGCAGTGGTTCCGGGATCCCTAAAGCGCTGCTCCGAGTCGGAGCCTGAGCGTTGCTCGGAGCCTGAGCGTTGCTCGGAGCCTGAGCGTTATGAGGAGAGAAACGTTTTGAACTCCGATGACCTTCCCGGGGCTCGCCGAGCTCGGAGTTCCGTGTTCTGCGGCGGGGCCCCGTCATCGTGGCCGTGGTTTTCTGCGCAACTCACGCGCGACCTGCGGAGGTGACAGTGGAGTTAGTGTCGCCGCTGCATACGAGGACATAGGTCGAGGCGATACATGTAGGTCGAGACGCTACTTTTGAGTCGACTCAAAAGTGACCTGCGGAGGTGACAGTGGAGTTATTGTCGCCGCTGCATGCGAGGACATAGGTCGAGACGCTACCAGGCGACGACTCCGAGTCGTCGGACAATAGATGATGGAACCCGAACTAGAGTCGGAACTCCTGAGCTTACCACGAAACGAAGGATTCGTGAATCCCTAAAAATCGTTTCGACGAGACTGTTTGGAAGTTATGACACGGAACTTCAGCAGACGAGCAAATTCGCAAACCAGGCGGACGTTGCCCGCACAGCACATCGGCCAACAGCGGCCTGAGGAAGACAATCAGGAGACGCAGTACAGCTTTCCTAAAGCTAACGAGGCTCGACCTAGCTGAACCGAGCTCGAACGACCAACAAACAATTGAACCGAGCAGAACCGCTGCCATTCTGAAAGGCGGAAGGGGTTGGGCAAGGGAAAGGAGGGGGGGATCATTGGAAAAAATTGGAGCAGACCGCCATGTTTTCCTGGGTCCAGCTTGTGGGGCAGTTTGGCTGGCGGGGTGGCTGCCAGAAGCAGCTTTCACCCAGAGCAATTTTGTCTGGCACCAGCCTCTCCACCGCACATACCCCACCTGGCGCTTCGGCCTGGCAGGCGGGGAGGTGCCTTTACGTGGCGGCGATTTCGGCGAAAAAATCCCAGTCCCTTCAAACATGCGTTCACGAGGTGTACGATTGCACGAAATTCCTCATTACATTGCTGAGTAGCTCGCTCAGGGTGGCTGATGTTTTCGCCGTTTGGTAACTAGGGGAGAATGTAGTGGGAGCAGCTAATTGGTAGGTGGTTTTGCAGTGTTTTTGCCGCGAATTGGACGGCGAGGTTCGCGAAAAGTGTTGAATTGAGCTGCACGAATTGGTTGTTCCAGTAGCTTGGTTGTGTATACTGTTGAATTTCTTGGCACAACGGTGGGGCTGGTCGGAACTCGGTAAAAGCTGACAGTGTAGCTCAGTGTTTGTTGATCCAGGAGTGTTCAAAAGAAGTAGTATCAGTCATTTCAGAAAACTACCTATTTTCCGAACGTGATTGTAAAGATGCTCATGTCTGTGAGATGAAAGATTCGCAAGGCCACGTGGCATGCGGTGGCTGGCAGTGTCCAACTTCCCCGCGCTTGGCATCCTGAGGATGGCGCGGCGCTCAGGGATTTATCGACCACAATCTGAGCCGTTTGAGCTCGTCCCTCGTTCCAGCGATGGCTGATACCAACCGGCTGGCAAATCCAAGAACAGTGCCTCGGACCGGCCTACACTTGGCCAGGAGGAGTCAGGTCAGGAGTCCGGCAGGACCAGCCAGCAGCACCAAGAGATTGAGGATTCACTTGACATGACACATATTGACCACAAATTCACAGATTCACACATTCACTTCACACATTCACCGCCCACGGATACATAGCTATCAGAGGAACAAGGCAGCCATAGACTGACAGCACATTGAGAATCCGCAGCCTGTGAAACTGCGACATTAGCCTTCGCTGATCTCTATCTTCGGAGGCTCTTTCTCTCCGTGCATCATGGCGTTTACCATTGTCGCTCAGCCTACTACCCCTTTTGAGGGACAGAAACCTGGGACCTCGGGACTGAGGAAGAAGGTAGCGCTCTGGCTTTGTTCACGCAAAAAAACATCGAATTCCTGATTTTATCTCAGAAAATATTCAAGATTCGGTTCAATTTGTCCTGTTTTTCAGGTCACGGTCTTCCAACAGCCGAATTACCTGGCGAATTTCGTTCAGGCAACCTTCAACTCCCTTCCCGCTGACAAGATTCAGGGTGAGCGTGCCGTCTAGACCCTCTTTTTCTACATTCCTCTGTAGATGCGCGATTAAGAGACTCTTCACAGTAGGGTCAGGCCTCAGCCTTTCCGGGTCTCAGCCTTTCGGACACCGAGTCTCGGCCTTTTGGACTCCGAGTCTCAGAATTTCGGGCACCGAATCTCAATCAGAAATCACCATTCGTGACTTTGACATGGCCTGGTCTCGTTCCTCCCCTGTTCAGGCTGCACTCTCGTGGTTTCCGGCGACGGTCGCTACTATTCCAAGGACGCGGTTCAGGTAACGCCGTCCGCGTGCCTTCCGTTTCCTGTTCGTCGTTGGTTCCGTGAAGACTTGAATCCTTGACGTCTTGAATTCGAAATTAGCTTGAGTCCTTGACGGCATAAATCCATGTCGACTTGAATCCTTGACGACTTGAATCCGTGACGACTTGGACCCGTGACAGCTGAATCCGTGACGAAATGAAGCGATGACAACCACATCGATTCTCGACGAGTTCAATCCTTGACGACTTGAATGCATGGCAGATTATCGCCAAGCTCGCGGCTGGCAATGGAGTTCGTCGGGTCTGGGTGGGCCAGGACAGCCTGTTCATGGGACGTCTCTCATTCTCGTTGTTGAATTTGTCTGGTAAAATCGAATGCGTTACAGATTATCGCCAAGCTCGCAGCTGGCAATGGAGTTCGCCGGATCTGGGTGGGCCAGGACAGCCTCCTTTCCACGCCAGCTGTGTCTGGAATCATCCGCGATCGCGTCGGCATCCAGGTAACGATACTCCGTTTTTCTCCACTACCGATTCCACACTTTCTTGATGAAACCTGAAATCTTAGTTTCCAGCGTTGAAATCTTTGGCGCCTTCCCTCGACCTATCCGCCCTGAATTCTCTCAACCGTGGCTGGTTATGCCGATAGTACTACCTACCTCCTGGCACTTTGCTGCTTGCAACAGGGCGACAGGGCGTACGGAGCGTTCGTTCTCACGGCCAGCCACAACCCCGGTGGGGACCACGCGGACTTTGGCTGGTTATGCTGAGAGTACTACCTACCTCGTGTCACTTCGCTGCTTGAAACAGGGGGACAAGGCGTACGGGGCGTTCATTCTCACTGCCAGCCACAACCCCGGTGGGCCCCACGAGGACTTTGGCATCAAGTACAACTGCGAGAACGGAGGGCCGGCTCCTGAAGGCCTGACGGACCAGATCTACAAGCACACCACGACCATCTCGGAGCTCAAGATCGCTGAAGGGCTGCCCGAGGTACGTTAGTGAGGCGCTGTAGAATGCCTTTCACAGGGACTTGAGAGTATCGTGTACAGCTGCGAGAACGGAGGACCGGCTCCTGAAGGCCTGACGGACCAGATCTACAAGCACACCACGACCATTCCGGAGCTCAAGGTCGCGGAAGGCCTGCCCGAGGTATCATGCGTTTTTTCTCTCTGGGTTCTTCATTCTGGCTGGTCCATAGGTTGCTTTCGTTTCGGCCGTGGAGAACGTGAGGCCTTCTCTGACTGGCATTGAAACCCAGAACATGCTAGCTTTCTACTGCTTCTGCGTCCTGTTTTACAACTTCCTTTTTGTCTAGAGTTCGATCATTTACTCCTTCCCTCTTCCACCGTTATGTCTGACTCTCCTGCATTCGGTGTGGGCTCAGAAACTTTCGTCCACATTCCCTCTGGCTTCCCTGTGGCTGCTGCAGGTCGACATCAGCACCATCGGCCTGCAGTCCTTTGACGGTCCGAATGGCAAGTTCGAAGTGGAGGTGTTCGACTCCGCTGAGGATTACATCAAACTCATGAAGTCAGTCTCCCAACCCTCTACACCTATACCGTGTCCTGCTTTTGAGGCGCCTCAAAAGCCCTCTACACCTGTACCGTGTCCTGCTTTTGGGGCGCCTCAAAAGCCCTCTACACCTGTACCGTGTCCTTTCCTTGTTTGACGGTGCTGTGACACTCTCGACCAGCCCTCGAACGCATGTTTCTTCCCCCCCGCATTCACCTGTCTTCACTGTTAATCTCCCCTTCTCTCGGTGCATTGCAAGTCGCTGTTGAACCTGTTTTCAACCCCCAACGTCCTTTTGTTTGCACCCTTGGCTCAGGACCATATTTGACTTCGACGCCATTCGAGCACTCCTCAAGAACCCAAAGTTCTCCTTCCTGTACGTCCTTATGCATCGTTCGTTTTGCTGTAGGTGTATTTTGAGAATTCTCAGAAATACTTCAACAGCAAAGATTTCCTTCCTGTCCATTCTTAAGAATCGTCATTCTGTCAACCGAGTTCGATCTCTAGGCATCTCCTCCTCTAGCTGTCCTGGTTCATTCATGTGTGATGACCCAGATTTCCCTTGCCTCCTCTTATCCCCCCACCCCAACCTCATCCTTCTCCTTTCGCCCTCTGCCCTCACAGGCTGGACGGTCTGCATGGTGTGGCTGGTGCATACGCGGAGAAGCTCTTTGTGCGTGAGCTGGGAGTGCCAGCCTCGTCCCTTGTCAACTGTGTGCCTAAGGTACGTTGCCAGCCTCATGCTGATGTGACACACTCATGTGCATGGACAGCCCTGGTGCATATCCATCCCATCCGATGGCTTCTCTCTCATACACCCTGGTGGAGGAAATGGGCCTGGGCGGGCAAGGAGGCACCTGAGATGGTTTTTGAGAATTCTCAAAAGCCAACTCAACTCACATGGCTCTCTCTCACACGCCCAAGTGGAGCCAATGGGGCTGGGTGGGCAAGGAGGCACCTGACCTTCTTCATCCCTCTTCTCCCCCCCCCCCCCGGCCCACCCTTCTGCATCGCCTGCTTTTCTTCCCGGCAATTCAGGATGACTTTGGCAGCGGTCACCCCGACCCCATGACCTGGTGGAGGCGATGAGGCTGGGCAAGCACCAGCCTGCGCAGGAGCCGCCTGAATTCCTCCCTCTCATAACTGACTGTTTCCTCTGGTCCCTGTTTCACCATTCAGGAAGACTTTGGCGGCGGGCACCCCGACCCCAACCTGACGTACGCCCATGACCTGGTGGAGGCGATGGGGCTGGGCAAGCACCAGCCTGCGCAGGAGCCACCTGAATTCGGTGCTGCTTGTGACGGCGATGCCGATCGCAACATGGTCCTGGGCAAGAGGTGGGTGCATCATGGTTGTTGAATTGCATAGTCTGCAAACTGAACTCGGCGCTGCCTGTCACGGACATGCTGACCGCAACATGGTCCTGGGCAAGAGGTGGGTGCACGATGGTTGTTGAAATGCATGGTCTGCAAAATGAATTTGATGCTGCCTGTGACGGTGATGCCGATCGCAACATGGTTCCGGGCAAGAGGTAAGTGCAAGTTGGTTACAGAATGCACATTAAAGATGAATGTTATGCAGGTTTTGGTATGGCTTGCCATGGCGATGCGAAAGTGGTGCCGGTAATATGTGACTCCCTCGGACTCGGTGTCCATCATAGCAGCCCAACGCGGTGGCCAGCATCCCGTACTTCAGTTCAGGGGCGGATGGGCTTACAGCTGGTTCTTCTCCGTTCTTTGCCCTGGGAGACGTCTCAATGCTTGCCTCCTTCCCTTCTGCTCTCCATCACCCTCTCCTTGTCTTCCTTCCGCAGCAGGTTCTTTGTGACTCCCTCTGACTCGGTGGCCATCACAGCAGCCAACGCAGTGGCCACCATCCCCTACTTCCGAGGCTGGTGGCCCTGACGGTCCTGCTCTGTCTGGGAGGAGCCTCAACACTCACTTTCCTCCTTGCTTTCCTTCGTTTTTCTCGTCTACCCTCTCAATGCTTCCCTGCCTCAACAGGTTCTTTGTGACACCCTCTGACTCCGTGGCCATCATAGCAGCCAATGCTGTGGCAAGCATCCCCTACTTCAAGGGCGGGCTCAAGGGCGTTGCCAGGAGCATGCCCACGTCTGCTGCACTAGACGTGGTGGCTAAGGAGCTCGGACTCAAGTTCTTTGAGGTGGGTCTCTGCCCTATTCAGGGCTACGGGTTTCCGTTTTGGGTTTTTGGAGGTGTCTGCGTCCCCCACTTCAAGGGCGGGCTCAAGGGCGTTGCCAGGAGCAAGCACACGTCTGCATGGATTTAGGAGTCCGCCAGGAGCTTAAACTCCGAGTTCTATGAGGCAAGAGTCTGCTCTCACTGCTATCCCCTCCACTGCTCTGTAACTCTCCTCTTGGCCGCAGTCCATCACTTTGAGCAATCCTCTCATGAAAGCATCCTCCTTCGCCTTTTCCAGTGATTTTCTCACGTGTGAGCGCACAGGTGCCCACCGGGTAGAATTTCTGTGGTAGTCTCGTGGACGTAATGCAGGAATGTGGTTTGCCTGTGGTGAACACAGCTTCAAGACTGATGGAATGCCTGTCCCACCTCTTTTCCCGATTCCTTTTCCTTTCATGGCTGCTGTCCTTGCAGGTGCCAACTGGGTGGAAGTTCTTTGGCAATCTCATGGATGCTGGCATGTGCTCTGTCTGCGGCGAAGAGAGCTTTGGCACGGGTGAGTTACAACACAGGTGAGGTTCGACACATATGAGGTTTTTCACAGGTGAGGTTTTGGCATGGGTGAGGTTTGGCAGGAGTGAAGGGAAGGTGGTGTCGAGCAGCCTTCCCTCTTGCTGGAACGCATCAGAACCCGGATTGTGCGTTGCAATCCCAGTGACTTTTGAGTCGACTCAAAAGTCGCATCAGAACCCGCATTGTGCGTTGCAATCCCAGTGACTTTTGAGTCGACTCAAAAGTCGCCTCAGAACCCGCATTGTGCGTTGCAATCCCAGTGACTTTTGAGTCGACTCAAAAGTCGCATCAGAACCCGCATTGTGCGTTGCAATCCCAGTGACTTTTGAGTCGACTCAAAAGTCGCATCAGAACCCGGATTGTGCATTGCAATCCCAGTGACTTTTGAGTCGACTCAAAAGTCGCATCAGAACCCGCATTGTGCGTTGCAATCCCAGTGACTTTTGAGTCGACTCAAAAGTCGCATCAGAACCCGCATTGTGCGTTGCAATCCCAGTGACTTTTGAGTCGACTCAAAAGTCGCATCAGAACCCGGATTGTGCGTTGCAATCCCAGTCTCTGACCACATCAGGCAGGACGACGCCACCTGGGCCATCCTGGCGTGTCTCTCTATCCTCACCAATTGGAACAGCGATACCTGCGGAGGCCAGCTGGTGACCTGGTAGCCCGAACTCCATTCCCTTCCCCCCCTCCCCCCCTCAATGTTTACTCCTGCTCTTCCCAGGGTCGGACCACATCAGGGAGAAGGATGGCATGTGCGTCAGCCTGGCGTGGCTCTCTATCCTCGCCAAGCGGAATAGCGGCAGCAGCAGTGAAGCGCACTGTTGACTGTGGAAGAGTCTGAACTCTCTTGACTCCCTCCTGCGACCCTTCACAGGGTCGGACCACATCAGGGAGAAGGATGGCATGTGGGCCATCCTGGCGTGGCTGTCCATCCTGGCCAAGCGGAACAGTGAAAGCAGTGAGGGGCAGCTGGTGACTGTGGAGGAGATCGTGCGGCAGCACTGGGGCAAGTACGGCCGGCACTTCTACACGCGATACGACTACGAGGTACCATGCTGTTAAATCGAGGTATGCTACGGTGTGAGAGGGTTTTACCATGCGCCCCCACGTTCATGCTATGGTGGAAGATGCTATAGCCAGGCTGGTTTACTACTAACCCACGTTTTGGCCTATCCGCATGACAAGGACACATGTCCTTGTGTTGTGCCATGGTGACAGGGAGTCTAGTTTTGAGGCGCCTCAAAACTGTGTTGTGCCATGGTGACAGGGAGTGGAGGCTGGGAGGGGAAGGACGCTGAGAGTTCAAGGCACCCAACACGTCTCTCCGGCTGGCGCATCCGTCTCTCCTTCATCCGGCTCTCATGCCTGACCCAACCCGTTCTCGAATCTCCACCCCTCTGTGTTACCGTCCCACGACAGGGAGTAGACGCTGAGGGCGCAAAGAAGCTCATGGCACATCTCGTTGCCAGCCAAGCAGACATTCCAGCCCTCAACACGTATGTTCCTTGCCAGCTCATATTTAAAGCCCAGATCCCAAATTATTTCCACGAAGTCAACACTTGGTAGGTGGGCTGGGCTGGTGGCGAAAACAAATGAAATGATTGGGTGCGAAAAAATAGCAACTTTGTTCATTTCGCGTGTGCCTTCGTAAGAAAACTGGGCCCAGTTGTTTCGGGACTTCAGATTGGGCCCAGTTTGAATCAGACGGCTGGGACGCAGGGACACATGAAGTCCCAAGATGGAAGCAGATTTACAGCCGTAGATGAAAATGGAACCCAACTTCACTGATTCTCGAGAGCCTGGGTTGGAAAGGTCGATCGACGGCTGGGACTCAATGACACATTGAGTCCCATTTTACAAGGTTCGATTTCAACGGTAGATTCAGCAACAGCAAATTCGCGTCACTTCTGTGGCGAAGCCAGGTCTGGGGCACTTTTTTGGGCAAAACAAAACGTATCAAATTGGGGCCAGTTTGGTCCCGCGCTGACTAATTTGGGACCTGGGCTTAAAAAGCTCATGGCACACCTCAACACGTATGTTCTGTATGGAAGAAGCTCATGGCACACCTCGTTGCCAGCCAAGCAGATATCGCAGCCCTCAACGCATAAGATCTTGCCCCCATCTGCCACCACTGCTGTTTCATAGCGCCATGAGTCCATGCCAATATAGTTCCACAACACGATATCAACCATCTCTTAGTGGCTCCATCTTCTCATTGGCTGGCCCATCTTTCAGCCATTCAGTTCCCCCTGCCCACACGCACCACAGGGCTGTGAAGGAAGCAAACAGCGCAGCCGCGGAGGTGGTGTGAGGGGGGACGAGTTTCAGTACAAGGCCCTGGTATATGCCTCTGTGACCCTTGAATCTTACTCTATTCCACTGCTGCTTCGCACACTGCCTGCTCACTCTGACCCCCCTCTTTAACAGGGCTGTGAAAGCAGCCAACAGCGCAGCAGCGGATGTGATGCGCGGCGACGAGTTTGAGTGCAAGGACCTGGTGAATGGCTATGTGCCACTTGTTTCTCACACTCCCCTGTCCCCTCCCCCTTCCCCTCCCCCAGTGCCGTGAAGGCGGCCAACAGCGCAGCAGCGGACGTGGTGAGGGGCGATGAGTTCGAGTACAAGGACCCCGTGGATGGCTCTGTGTCCAGCCACCAGGGCATTAGGTTCTTCTTTGCTGACGGCTCCAGACTGGTATGGCACACAACCTGTTGCATGCTTGTTTGAAGGTAGTCAGCTGCAAGCTCGGGCCACACGCTAGACCTTAGCAACCATTCGGTCCCGATGGCAGAATCTCAATGACTCTTATCGTCTGGCTTCCACCCCCATAATGCGAACCCACCTCCTCTACCCTCCAGATTTTCCGCCTGTCCGGCACGGGATCAGTGGGAGCCACCGTCCGTGTGTACATTGAGCAATACGTGGCAGATAGCTCTAAGATCGATGGGAACCCAGCTGAGGTTCTTGCTCCTCTGGTCAGTACTGGGTGTGATCCATTATTACACTTATTTGTTCACTCGTTCACTCATTTGTTTGACTGTTAGTCCTCCATCATTTTGCTCGCTCGCCTGTGAACACTCCCCACATCCCTTCCTTTCCCACTCCTTTCCTTCCACTCCATCCTTTTTCTCCCTATTCCATCTCAGGTGGATGTGGCTATCAAGGTCTCCAAGATGGAGGAATTCACTGGTCGTACTGCACCCACCGTTATCACCTAGAACCGCACTATACTGTGCTGACAAATTTGAGGTGGTCAGACAGTGCACCATGATATTCTGCACATCCTATCTCCCGTTTAGACGACAAATAATGCCGAATGGATCCCATATGTTGTCCTTAGTTTTTAGATGAAGGACAAAATATATGTAATGATTTTGTTTTGGCTAAGGTTCCATGCGTTGATAAAATTAAGACTGAGAATCTAATCATAGTAATTTCCTTTAAGTGGAATTGTGTAATGTTCTTATGCATCCCTACGTTGTAGAGTTTCCATTCATACCCGACGCTCGAGCTCGTCATTACCCGCAAATACCCAGCAGTAACGAGTACCGCGTGCGCCCTACGCGCGTGCAGATTCACACCCTGCCACATGACATGCCTCCTATTTCTCCCTCTTCGTTCTCTGACACATAACAGCATACCGACAGTGGTACTACTAATTTGATAACGCAGCTCGCAGCGCCGTTGCCGTCGTCGCTAGCTAGTCACGTCGACGCATCTGCTCCCTCATTTTGACGCTTCAGTTGATTCGCGTAACTTCAGCCATCCTCGACTCTAATTTGGCCAATAATTTTGACTTTCCAGCTGATCCATCCAGCTCTGGTTCTTAGCCTCAACCTACCAAATCACCACCCTAGTGAATTTTCCTGTCAATGGATGTACGGCCGGAAAAATCGCCGGAAAATGTGGCTGAAACGGGGCCTCCGAGCCGACTAAGCACTTTCTTGTCACCGTACTACGTAGTTAATCTTCTCGCCGTGCTCTCCGTTCTCCCGGTCCGAATCGCCGTGGTGTCGGGGGACTCGTTCACCAGAGACCTTGCAGTACTGTACAAATGGGTACGTCCGGACCGGGGACTCAGATAGTACAAGCATCTCGTTTACCAGGGATCTCTCGCTGCTATACACGTGCTTTTTATTCCGGGGACTCGTTCACCAGAGACCTTGCAGTACGGTACAAATGGGCATGTTTCGATCCGTCTCCCCCCATGCGTCTCCCCCCATCCGCTTCCCCCCATCCATCTCCCCCCATTTGTCTCCCCCCATCTATCTCCCCCCATCCGTCTCCCCCCACCCGTCTCCCCCCCACCCGTCTCCCACCATCTGTCTCCCCCCATCCGCTTCCCCCCATCCGCTTCCCCCCATCCGCCTCCCCCCACCCGTCTCCCCCTACCCGTCTCCCCCCATACGTCTCCCCCCATCTGCCTTCCCCCGACCGCCTCCCCGCATCCGCCACTTTCCCCTTTCTCTCCACCCATCGCTATCTTGTTTCTTACCCCCTCTACCATCGTCCAATAATGGCTGGAGCGGCATGTTCCATTCGGCCTCCTGTTCAGTGCCAAAAGCAATCTTTGCTGCTCCTGAAGCCATAACCAATCAGGAGTAACGTCCCAACTCCCAGCCCGCCTTTCTCTCTCACGCGCCCCTCCCCCATCGTTTCGTAATGGCAGGAGCGGCACGTTCTATTCGGCCTTCTTCTAAGTGCGTCTTACAAGGTATGCTATCATCATTAGCACTGTGATTTTTTGTGTGTCTTTTTTTTGTGTGTGTGTGTGGGGGGGGGGGTTGCCTTTGTTTTTGTTTGTTCTCTGGTGTTTTTTTTTTTTTTTTTTTTTGTGACTTCTGCGTTTTGTCCTCCATTCCAAGACTCTTGTCGTATTTTCCCCATGTTACCCTATGGCACAGCATGCTATGACATGTCCTCAAGTGTATTCTCCTAATACCCTGTGTCACGGCATGTCATGGCATGATGGAGCGATATTGACCCCCTTGGCTCCAGTTGTGGCGAGCCAACACCACCGAAGGAGCGTTCGCCTCTATCATGTTCAACTCCAAGGCAAGGCCCCTCTACCCTCGCTTTTCTTGTATTTAATATGCCGTTGCACGTGAACGCATTGGGAGTAGTTGTGGCGAGCGAGCCAACACAGGCGAAGGAGCGTTCGCCTCTATCATGGTCAAAACCAAGGCAGGCCTCTCCTCTCCTTTTCTGGCTTTCCTCGTGCTCAAATCCGCGTGATAACAGTCTAGTTTTGAGGCGCCTCAACGAAAAGTAAAACGTTTTCCTCGATCTTGTCCAGCACCAAGGCACTCCTTTCCTCTTCTTTCCTGAAATCTAGACTCCTTGCGCACAGAGGGGACTAGTTTTGAGGCGCCTCAAATCTAGACTCCTTGCGCACAGAGGGGACTAGTTTTGAGGCGCCTCAAATCTAGACTCCTTGCGCACAGAGGGGAAGAAAGCCTTCGAACTGATTGATCAGACGTCGTTTTTTTTTTTTTTTGTTGCATTAACAGCGATCCCTTCCTTTTTCACTCTCCTAATGCTGCAGATGATTCTCGTGGCTCTCCTATGGGCGGTGGATCCTCGCATATGTGCCTGGTACCTCCTTGCTTTCATGCGTGAGTGGTCCATTTCCTACATCCCTTTCTCGTTTCCAACCACTTCCCCCTGAATGTTTTGTGTCAACTTGAAACATACATGGATGATTCTCGTTGCTCTCCTACGGGCTGTGAATCCCTGCATATGCGCCTGGTACCTTCTTGCTTTCATGCGTGAGTGCGCAAACACCATACCCCTGCGAGCAAACATCACACCTGTGCATAACACATACTTCTCTCCGTTTTAAACCTCCTCAATAGCACGAATCCCCACATGGGCATCTGGTACCTCCTTGCTTTCATGCGACACCAATGGAATCATATTTCTCTGGGTTAACCATGGTGGTAGTAGCATTGCGAGGCATCGGTTCTGAAAAGCTCGAGGTGTAGGGATGCTCAGAAAGTTTTTTATGGAAAACCAGTGATGAACTAGTTTCGGCTTACACAAAAGCACGAATCCCCACATATGCATGTGGTACCTCCTTGGTTTCATGCGTGAGTGACGCAAACGCCATACCTCTTTTCCCCCCGGAGTAAGTAAGCCCTGCAGCTTTGACCCTTGCATATGCGTCTGACACCTCCTTGCTTTCATGTGTGAGTTTTCCCTACCATCTCTGTGTGCAACGAGTCTATTTTTGAGTCGACTAAAAAATAGACTTATTACATACCATCTCCCGTTCTCGTTGTCAAGTGTTGCGGTCCCCCCCATTCCCCCCTCGCCCTATACGACCACCACCCCCCCTCCCCCCTTTCTATCTTTGTCTCCGTATTCCCTTTCAACCTCCCCTCCCCTCCCCTTGCACCACTCCATGGCTAGCCTGCTCACTGCTCACTCATCAGCGCTTTCATACCTGGTTCCTTCTCCCTCTCCACTCATAAGCATTATTAACTAGCGGTGTGTTCAGTGCTCTTCCTCCTCTCAGTCCCCAACGGTGCCAAGTCTTGGCATTGAGAGGTCCCGAGAGCACGACGTGAGCCGACGTCTCATTATCTTCGCATTTTCTCCCCCTCTCCCTCCCCGCGCCCCCTCGTCCGGCCTGACTCCTTGGCCCCCCCAAACCACCCGTGTGTGCAGTGATCTTCCTTCTGTGTCCTCAGCGGTCACGAGGTGACTTTTGAGTCACAAGCGGACACTCAAAAGTCACTTGTGTGTCCTCATCGGTCACCAGCATTTTCAGATCCCTCCCTCCGTCCACATCCCCCCCCCCATCCCCCTCTTCCTCCCGTTTCTTGCGCCCCCAACCACCCATGTGAGCAGTGATCTTCCTTCTGTGTCCTCAGCGTTCACAAGCGTCCCCATCAGGTTAGTCCAAAAACAAAACATTGTAAAAGACTTGAACACGAAGTACGGAAACGCACATGCGCATTTGCACACACACACATGCGCACGCACGCATATATGCACACTCGTCTTCCTCCCAATACCCACCATCTGATAGAAGTCTTGTATTGAGACGTCTCAAAACAAAACGTATAACATTTGCACTGCACACACACACACATGCACATGCACACACCGCTCTTCCTCCCAACACCCACCATCTCCGCCCCCCCCCCCCCCCCCCCTCTTCCGTTTGCCACGTCAGCATCGGACGCCTTTCTTGAGATGATCCCTCGCCAGCTGGAGCTGGTAGCGCCAGTGGAGAGTGCCACGTCTGCATCCACCACACCATGCCTTGTGAGTGCCACGTCTGCATCCAGCTCACCGTGCCTTTTGAGTGCCACGTCTGCATCCAGCTCACCATGCCTCGTGAGTGCCACGTCTGCATCCAGCTCACCATGCCTTGTGAGTGACACGTCTGCATCCAGCTCACCATGCCTTGTGAGTGACACGTCTGCATCCAGCTCACCGTGCCTTGTGAGTGACGTGACACAAGACTCTGGTTCTGCCATTCTTGAGGCGCCTCAAAAACCATTCCTTCCATTCCCATTCCCTTGCCCCCTTCCATTCCCATTCCCTTGCCCCCTTCCATTCCCATTCCCTTGCCCCCTTCCAGTCCCATTCCCTTGCCCCCTTCCATTCCCATTCCCTTGCCCTCTCCCCTTTTTCTCTCTCCCCCGCGTTCTACCACCTCCCCCCCCCCACCCCCACCCCCCCCTCTTCCCCACCTTTTTTTTTGCACCCTCTGCCCAGGTTATGTTCTATGCCAGCTGGTCCCCCCCATGCCACCAGCACATGTCTCTGTTCGTTGATATCGCCAACCAGTAAGCCCCTGTGACCTTTGAGTCGGCCCAGAAGTTTCGGACTGTCACTCATTGCTCCCCCCCGTGCCACCCACCCACACACGTCACTGTTCATTGATCTCGCCAACCAGTGAGCCCTCCCCCACCCCACCACCCCCACCCCCACCCCCCAACCCCCCCTCCCCAACTTTTAACCCCTTCACCACTAACTTAAGCCTCGTGCGACCAGCACATGTCACTGGTCATTGATCTCGCCAACCAGTGAGCCTTTCTTGACTTCCAGTCGCCCCAAAAGTCAGTCTTGACTTTCTTGACTGGTTCCTCGTTGCCATCAGCCTATGTGGCGGTTATGCATGCCCCAATGCATGACTTTTGAATCAATACTCAATGGATACTCCAAAACTCAAAAGATATCCCAATGCATTATTGTCAACCTCTTCTCTAGCATCAAGGCCCGTCTTTCCCATCTCCTCCCCACCAGCACCCCGTACTATGCTCCTTTACTCCCCCTTCCCCCCCCAGGTATAGGAAAGGCCTGCCTTTCCCCTTTCCCCTCCCCTCCCTTTCCTCCCCACCAGCACATCTTACTATGCTCCTTTATTCCCTCTCCCCCCCCCCCCAGGTATGGCAAAGGCCCCCATATTCACTTTGGTCGCTTGGACGTGTCTCGCTTCCCTGATGTGGCTGAGAGGTTCGGCATCGACACTGGCAGTGAGTGCCTTTTCTTATATACCTGTCTCGAGGCTCCTTTTATTCGACTGATTCACTTTGGCCGGGGTTGGACGTGTCTCGCTTCCCTGACGTGGCTGAGAGGTTCTCAGCTGACGCTGGCAGTAAGTCAACATGACCCATGCTCGGTACACTTCATGCTTGGGCTGAATTTTGAGTCGACTCAAAAGACATGCTAGGGCACCTTGAGTGGTTCACGCGGATTTGAGCGCGAGGAGTCTATTTTTGAGGCACCTTGTCGGCTCGAAGATCCAAGCAAAAAAGGAAATAAAATAGTCAGCATGACCCAAGCTGATGAACTCGCAAGTTCTGTGATACGGTTCATGCTCCAGTGATGAGCTTGCACGTTCTGGGTTCTGGGTGATGAGCTTGCACGTTCTGCGTTCTGGGTTCTGGCTAACCCCCAGCACATCATGTGGATAGTGATTTTTGAGTCGACTCAAAAATGAGCTTGCAAGTTCTGGCTAACCCCCAGCACATCATGTGGATAGTCACAAGCCTGACGTGTCCTCTCCTCCTGACCCTGATTATTCCTCCATCCTCCTTTCAAGGCGCCTCAAAAATAGACTTGCTGATCCCCATCATATAGATAGTACCAAGCCCTGGCTGACGTGTCCTCCTGGCGCTGACTACTCCTCGATCCTCCATACCTCCCGCCCTTTTCCCTTCCCCCGTTTATCCTCACCCTCCCAGTGTTTTCCTCTCAGCTTTCAACGCTCATCCTCTTCCCCGCCTCCCTCATTTGTCTCTTGGCCCTCTCTCCCTCTCTCCTCATGCTCCCAGTGTTTTCTTCTCAACTGCCCACTCTCGTCCTCTTCCACAATGGCACCGAAGTCAACCGCCTTCCACCGCTCTCCACCAGCAGCAGCAGCAGCAACAGGTTCAGTGCCCAGCCCACACCGTTCTTCTCCCCGTCTGCCCTGGCCCCTGGGCTTTACACGCCGCCCCGGCTCACCAGAAGCATGGTAGTGAGTGCCTTTCAGCTGGACCTATGGCGGATGAAGGGTGCTCTGGCGATGGAGAAAGCAGCACAGCAGAAGGGGAGGAAGGAAGCCCAGGTGCAAGCACAGCAGCAGGAGCAGAAGGAGGAGCTGGATCAGGGGCAGGAGCAGGAGGAGAAGAAAGAGCGGTAGTTGCAGGTAGGAGTGGCTAGAGTAGGGAGGCAGCAGAAGGGGTCTTTACACGCCACCACGGCTCACTAGAAGCATGGTCGTGACGGTGTTTCAGCTGGACCTATGGCAGATGAAGGGTGCTCTGGCGATGGAGAAACCAGCACAGCAGAAGGGGAGGAAGGAAGCCCAGGTGCAAGCACAGCAGCAGGAGCAGAAGGAGGAGCTGGATCAGGGGCAGGAGCAGGAGGAGAAGAAAGAGCGGTAGTTGTAGGTATGAGTGGCTAGAGTAGGGAGGCAGCAGGAGGCGTCTTTACACGCCGCCACGGCTCACTAGGAGCATGGTAATGACGGCGTTTCAGCTGGACGTGTGGCGGATGAAGGGGGCTCTAGTGATGGCGAAAAGCAGCGCAGTAGTAGGGGAGGAAGGAGGGTCAAGCGCAGGCACAGCAGCAGGAAGAACGGCAGGAGCAGGAGCAGGGCCAGGGCCAGGGGCAGGAGCGGGAGCAGGGGCAGGAGCGGGAGCAGGGGCAGGAGCGGGAGCAGGGGCAGGAGCGGGAGCAGGGGCAGGAGCGGAGCAGGGGCAGGAGGAGAAGACAGAGTGGTAGTTGAATGAGTAGGGGATGACATTACAGCAGGAGGCATCACTACACGCGGCCACAGATCGCGAGGATGAAGGGCGCCTTTCACATGGATTTATGGAGGATGAAGGGCGCTCTGGTGATGGCGAAAGCAGCGCAGCAGAAGGGGAGGAAAGAGGGTCAGGTGCAGGCACAGCAGGAGAAACAGAGGCAGGAGCAGGGGCAGCAAGAGCAACAGGAGGAAGAGTAAGGTCAGGAGGGAAAGGAGGAGTGGGTAGCTACTGTTGGGGGATGGAATCAACTCTACTATGAGTGGTCAGAATCATTGTTCTGCAAAAGGTGTCGCTGGGAGCGTGGGCTTGCGCAAAGAAGGTTGGAAGTGCGATGAAATGTTGCTTACTGGTTTTGTGAGTCATGACAGTGCCAGGCCAATCTCAGCTCAACTGCTTGGGAAAAGGGTTTTATGCAAGTGTTTGTTATTGTGTGATTGTAGGCCGTGAAAGCAAGTTGTTTTGTTATTGTTGTAAACATTTATGCAGTTTTCACGTTTCACGAAAAACAGCTCTTTGATAGATATGGATATCAAGGAGCATCATCATTCAATTATCCTCTATTGTGCATTTGTTCAAACTAAAATGACTTGATTTGCATTATCTAGCACGCTAAGTAGTACCCGATTTCATAACTGTAGTGACCTGATTAATGATGACGTTCAGGGACCTTTTGATGCCAGGAGCACCAACCGCCGCACTCGTGGGCGGCAATCACGGCTACTCGGCGTCTCTAAAATCCTACTTCTCGAACACCCTAGCGGCTAGAATCCAGAACAAGCGTGAGATTGCAGATTGGACGGAACCAGACACGGGGGATGAGGAGAGGACTGGGGAACTACCCGTAGCGGCGCAGCCATCGCCTCTGACCGGCCGGCGCCTGGACTAACAGACGACTACTTATTGCCGGCGTGTATCACCAGCGGCGTTTTTGAGAGTTCTAAAAAACACCCTGCAGTATCACCAGAGATGGCGGAGCCTGCGCCTGGACTTCACGGCTGTAGCTCCTGTAGTTTCACGTGGGCGTATTTTGAATCTTCTCAACGTACACCTGTAGCTCCTGTAATTCACGCCGTTGGTGTATTTTGAAATTTATCGACGTACAGCTTTAGAGGTGCTTTTTTTTTGTTTTTTTCTCGACATACACCACAACAAGAAGCAATGGCGGAGCGATCTCCGCGATCGCCCCTCACCGGCCGGCGCCTGGACTTCACAGCTGTAGCTCGAGGCACGGAGGGGCCTGTAGCGCAGGCAGCGGCGCAAGACGCGGAGATGGGGGAACCGACGGTTGGCACACCAGCGGCAGACGCGGGGAGCGATGGAGCGACGATGGTCTTGCAAGTTTCTGCAACACCTGCTGCTGCTGCTGCTCCTGCTGAGGTGTCCGTTGCGGTGCGAAACGCGGAGATTCGGCGGGGGATAACGGCGATCAAGGCGGAGAGCCAGCGGCAGCGGACTGGCCTCGTCCAGGTGCGTATGATTTTCGCACAAAGCATGTTCTTGAGTCCACTCACCTGCAGGTGCTTGCTTGGACATGCGTCACTGTTCAGAATTTACTGGAAGGAACCGCTGGTGGATTGGATTTTGAGTCGACTCAAAATACATCAGCAGGTTCTTGGACATGCGTGACTGTTTGCTGGAAGGAACCGCTGGTGGCTGGTGGCTGGTGGGCTTGCCATCACCATCCGAGTAGCCACACATAGTTGGGTTGGTGGGATTTGGTGGGCCTTCATGGACTGCTGAGGCTGTCCAGTTTTGTTGTGTGGGTATGCGTGTGGGTGTGTGTGTGTGTGTGTGTGTGTGTGTGTGTGTGTGTGTGTGTGTGTGTGTGTGTGTGTGTGTTTCCAATGTTTTGTTAACCGCCTTGCGTGGCAGTTCGAGTGGTACTGTCAAACTGCAACTCAAGGGTGCTGTCGGTGCTGCTGCTGGGGTGTCTCTGCAACCCCTTGCATCTAAAAGTAGTTCTTAACTAAGCAATTCGTCCCTTTCCTTCCACCAGGAGCTACTGGCAGAGAATTGGAAGAATCTGCTTGCAGTCAAAATGAAACACAGGGCCGCTGCCAGCGCTGCTGCTGGGGGTGTGTTTTTATGTCAACACCTTAGGGTACAGGGGTACAGTTTCTCTCTCTCTCTCACTCTCTCCTTTAACCAGGAGCTACTGGCAGAGAATCGGAAGAATCTTCTTGCTGTAAAAAACGAAGCCCAGGGCTGCTGCCAGTGCTGCCGCTGGGGGTATGACTGCAACACCATGGACCTAAAGTTTTTTCTAACTTAGCGACTCTTCTCCTTCTTTTAACCAGGAGCTACTGGCAGAGAATCGGAAGAATCTTCTTGCTGTCAAAATGAAACACAGGGCCGCTGCCTGTGCTGCGGCAGGAGGTATCCCCTGGCCACGTCAGCAAAATCCTAGTCGGCATCAAGTGAGCAGCGACGCAGGTCCGGGAGCAGGTCCGGGAGCAGGTTCGGGGCTGGCAGTCTTGGGAGTAGCTGGTTCGGGAGTGGCAGGCTGGGGGGCTATCTCAGCGGTATTGAAAAGGCCTGGCACTACGGAGGAAGGAGCATGGGCAGCAGCAGCAGCAGCAGCAGGAGCAGCAGCAGCAGGAGGAGGAGGCGCAGCGGGAGCAGGAGGAGCAGGAGGAGGAGGGAGAGGTGGCGGGGGTGACATGGCTTCTGCAGTTCCGCGGACTAACCCAATCAAGATGGCGGCTGTTCAGAACGTGCCGACCTTCACCACCTGGATCTTCCTCGCCAAGTGAGTGGCTTAAATACCCGGTCTGCTCCGCCAATGCCAAGTGAGAGTGCTGATCGCCTCAAACCGTCTGGCCGCCTACAACGTGCCCACCTTCACCACCTGGATCTTCCTCGCCAAGTGAGTGGCTCGGCTTGGGTTCATTGGTTAGGGCTGCGGTCGGTAGATAGAAACCCTGGGTGGGTCTGCTCTGCGCAGCGCCAAGTGAGAGCTCTGAGCAGCTCAACCCCCCCCCCCTGGCCTCTCAGAACGTGCCGAGCTTCACCACCTGGATCTTCCTCGCCAAGTGAGTGGCTTGTCAGTAGAAACCCTGGGTCCGCGGTGCCTAGAGAGTGTGCCGAGCCCCTCAAATTGCCCTGGCCACTCAGAACGTGCCGACCTTCACCACCTGGATCTTCCTCGCCAAGTGAGTGGTTGAACCCTGGGTCAGTAGAAACCAACCCCCCTGGGTCTGCAGTGTCAAGTGAGCGTCCTGAGCGCCTCAAAATTTCCTGGCCGCCTAGAAGGTGTCTATTTTTGAGGCGCCTCAAAAATAATTTCCTGGCCGCCTAGAAGCTGCCCAGCTTCACTCACCTCAAAATGTTCCTGGCCAGGTGAGTGAGTGTCCTGGGTACTTATTTATGGCTGCGGTCGGTTAAAACCCCCAGTCTGCGGTGCCAGCTGAGTGTTCTCAGCGCCTCAACCCCCCCCTGGCTGCCTAGAGCTTGCCGAGCTTCACTGCCTGAGTCTTCCTCGCCAAGTGATTGGCTCGGCTTGGGTACATTGGTTATGGCTGCGGTCGGTAGAAGCCCTGGGTGGGTCTGCTCTGCGCGGTGCCAGGTGTGTGCGCTGAGCAGCTCAACCCCCCCCTGGCCGCCTAGAGCGTGCCGAGCTTCTTTGCCTCTTTCTTCCTCGCCAAGTGAGTGAGTGGTCTCTGACCTGAGCCCAGCTTTCCTTTTCAAGCTTGCTTGCACTGAGGGCACTAGGGTTTCGTAATTGAGCTTGCAGCTTTGCACTGGGGATTCCTTTAAAAAACCTTTTCTTTCACCTTCCTCCCGTTTTGAGGCGCCTCAAAACTGTGTTATGTTACCAATCAGGAACAAGCAGACCAGATCCCTGACGAGCAGTCGCTGGTGGGTAGAAAGCGGAGGCTGTAAGATGCGGAGCATGTGCACACTTCCCCATGTTACCAATCAGGAACGAGCAGACCAGATCCCAGACGAGCAGATCCCTGACGAGCAGATTTCTGGCGAGCAGTCGATGATGGGTAGAAGGCGGAGGCTTTATTACGACGTGGAGGAGGAGGAGACAACAGTGCGCAGCGAGTCCAGCTTGGTACACCCCTTCCCAGATGCTCACTGCCCTGTCACACCCCCCCCTCCCCTATGGTCACACCCGCACCACACAGGAACGAGCAGATCCCAGACGAGCAGTCCCTAGTGGGAAGGCGGAGGCTGTATTACGATGCGGAGAAGGAGGAGACGACAGTGTGCAGTGAGTCAGAGGATGAGGGCACGCCGTCCAGCCAGCTCAAGGACTTCAGTGCCGTGCAAGATGCGCTCATATGGTGAGTTTTTGTGTGAGCGTGTGAGAAGGTGTGTGCAGGGCAAGGGAGAGCGGAGGAAGGAGTCAGAGAGAGTTCTCTCCCAGCAGCCAGAGAGGAAGAGAGCGAGGATGAGGGCGCGCCCAGCAGCCAGTTGAAGGACTTATCTACCCTGCAGGACGCTCTAATGTGGTGAGTGAGAGAGAGTGTGCGAATCACTTTGTGTGTGGGGGATTGTAGGAAGAAGGGGGGTTGGGGAAATGTGGGGGAGGGAGGAGACGACGGTGCAGTGAGTCGGAGGACGAAGGGGCGCGCCTAGCAACCAGCTGAATGACTTCAGCGCCGTGCAAGCCGCGCTCATATGGTGAGAGATTGTAAGGAAGGGAAGAAGGAGGTCGATGAGTTGGAGGACGAGAGCACGCCTCTCCACCCCTCTCCACCCCCTTCCTGCCCACTCCCTGCCACTGCTGCCTGCCACTGATGATCCCACTGCTGCCTGCCACTGATGGTCCCACTGCTGCCTGCCACTGATGGTCCCACTGCTGCCTGCCACTGATGGTCCCACTGCTGCCTGCCACTGATGGTTCCACTGCTGCCTGCCACTGATGGTCCCACTGCTGCCTGCCACTGATGGTCCCACTGCTGCCTGCCACTGATGGTCCCACTGCTGCCTGCCCTCCCACCCTCACAGGTGGACCATCCAGCAGCACAGCGACTCTCAGGCGGCACTGTCTTTGAGCATCTTGCTCCATCCCTCAACGCTTTTATGAACCACCCCCCACTTCCCTGCACACTGTGCTTGCTTGCCTGCCCTCTCACCCTCACAGGAGGACCATCCAGCAGCAGGGCGACTCAGGCACTGTGATTGAGCATCTCGCATCGTCCCTCAACGTCCCTACAGAGGCTCTTTTTGACATTCCCACTCCACCTCGTTCCACCCCACTTCACCGCACCTAATCCATGTCCTGCTGCTGCTGTCTGCCCCCACCCTCACAGGAGGACCATCCAGCAGCAGGGCGACTCAGGCACTGTGATTGAGCATCTGGCGTCGTCCCTCAACGCCCAGGCAGAGCAGATCCACGTGAGTTGCGCATGCAAGTAGTTGTGAGGCGCCTCCGAATGAAGCAGAGTGTGCAGGTGTATGCATCGTCGCTCTGAAGAGAATCATAGTTCTATTTTTTCTTACCTAGGAGCTCATTGTGCAGTACCAATAATCGCTGTTTATGTATATATATATGTCTAAAATGTTCGTTCCTTTGTTTTTTTCCCCTTCGTCTCCACTCGCTTAAGGAGCAATGCCAAGAGATTCTGGAATTTCTTGAGAGGATGAATTCAGCAAGTGGATAAGATAAGTGGCACATGGCCGGTCATTTTCACCTCTCATATCTCCCCCCCCCCGCTGCCCCAGGTGCGGCACAAGGAGCTGAAGGAGCAATACCAAGAGATTCTGGAATTTCTTGAGAAGAAGAAGCAGCAGCAGGAGCAGGCACTTGCCGGGGCAGAGACAGCAGAGGGTAAGGGGAACAGAGGGGAGGCAGCAGACTCAAAAGTGGCAACTGGTGCAACGGCAGCAGCAGGGGCAGCAGAGACAGAAGTGAGAACAACAGATGCAGGAACAGGAGCAAGCGGAGCAAGAGGAGCAAGAGGAGCAAGTGGAGCAAGTGGAGCAAGAGGAGCAAGTGGAGCAGGTGGAGCACAAGAAAGCACAGCAGAAGGAGGCACAGCACAAGCAGCAGCAGCAGCTGTAGAAACAGGAGCAGGATGTGCAGATTGTTTAGGGTCAGAGTCAGAGCCTGAGTCTGAGCCAGGCAGTGTGGGAATGGAGCTGGTCTGGAGAAGTCTCCAAACAGTGCGCTTCCCTTTGCAACCCCGCCTGATGCTGCCTGCTGGTGGCAACAGACACACACGCAGAGAGAGGCGCCAGGCAACAGGATCGGACACTGCAGCAGCAGATTTCACAGTTTTGTCGCCCTCACAGCAGCAGACGAGTGTGAGAGGAGACGAGGCAGCAGAGAAGCGATCCAATGCAGGTGGATGGGAGGGAGGGATCGGCTCCGGATGCTGCAGAAGAAAGGCCAGGCTTGCAGGCAGCAGTTGAAAGGTTGTCGTTAGCAGCAACAGCCAAAACACAGCCGGAGCAACAGGCGAAGCAACAGCCGAAAGCAACAGCTGAAGCAGCAGGCAGCGGCAGCAGTTGAAAGGTTGTCGATTGCAGCGACAGGCGAAGCAGCAGCAGCAACAGCAGCCGAAGCAGCAGCGGCGGCAGCAGCAGCAGCAGCAGCAGAAGCAACAGGCGAAGCAGCAGCGGCAGCAGCAGCAGTTGAAAAATTGTCGATTGCAGCGACATGCGAAGCAGCAGCAGCAACTGGCGAGGAGGCAGCAACAGCAGCAGCAGCAGCAGCAGCAGCAGCAGCAGCAGCAGTGAAAGGTGATGACATCACAACGGGCTGTCATGAAGCCTCTGCCCCAGCCACAGGCCCTAGTGCTGCTGATTCTCCTGGCTGTGATGGTGCCAATACCCTGCCCGGTTTTGTTGCTGCTTCCACTGCTGGTTCGGCTGCTGACAGCGAGTCCATTGGTTTAGGCTCCGGTGCTGTGTGTGAAGCCACGAGGGGGCCAGCTGCTGTGTGTGACGCCACGAGGCGGGATCTGCTGGGCAGTTTGAGGACTTGGAGGGAGCCATGGACTCGTGGGACCACCTCTTCTGCCGCAGATGCCTCGTGAGTCGCTGAGAGGGAGAGAGTGAGTGAGTGAGTGGGTGAGGGAGTGAGGGAGTGAGGGAGTGAGGGAGTGGGAAGTGGGGATTCATCAGATATGCTTATTTATCTAGGCCATGGCCTCATCCCCATGGCCTCATCCCCATGGCGTCATCCCGATGCCCTCATCCCTATACCTTACCCGCCACTCTTCAAAACCCCCAACCCCCCTTCCTTTTGAGTCGACTCAAAAGCAGACTCATCCCCATGGCCTCATCCCTATACCTTACCCGCCACTCGTCCAAACCGCCCTCCCCCTTCCTCCTCCCCCTCCCTTTCTCGTGCAGGTCTTTGTTTGCTAGACACATGGAACCTTTGTTTTCCAGTCGACCCAAAAACACCCTCCCCCTCCCCACTTCCCCCCCCTCCCCTCTCTCTCCCCCGCTCTCTTTCTCATGCAGATCTTTGATTGCAAGACGCATGGAACCGTTGACGAGCCAGTGGTTCCTGTGAGTCGATACACGCACACCACCTCTCTTTCCTTCTCCTTGGCTTTTTAATGCTTCTTCTTTTCAGAAAGTCCCCTCCGCTCCTCCTCTCTGCTTCCCTTGATTCCGAGCAAACCTCGTTCCCTTAGCGTTTCTCTGCTACCTTAGAG